TAGAAATTGGTGATTAAAGTATGATAATTGAATAGTTCAATGATTTATTGGAAATATGATGAAGGTTATTTAGTAATTATGAATGAATTAAAGGGTAAAATGGTCAATTGACAAGTAAGATTTTTATATTTCTTTTATAAGATAAGGAACCACGTGGAAAAGGAGAATTATCCAAAGTTTTCTTTCTTCTTCTTCCTCCTCCCGTATCTCCAAGCTCAAAGGTGAGTTTTTTTGTTTATGGATTAATTGTTGATTTTAAAGTTATGTTTTGATTATTAGATGATAACTAAGCTTAAGAAAAGCTTAAGTTATCTTAAAATCAAAGTATGATGGAGTTAGGAGGGATTAAATATTTGGGGTTCTTGGGTAAAATCTTGAAATAGAGTTCATTACTCAAATTGGAAGATAAATTTGACTTGTCAATGGTTAAATTAAGAGATATTAAGTGATAAAATGATTTTTGAAACATGTTGGAAATCTGGTATAATTCTTGAAGTTAATAAAGAGGAGAGAATATTAAGGTTCAAGACGAGATAAATGAGTTTGAATAGGAGTAAGTAAGTTAAGAATACGAAATGGATTGATATATGAAGTAATTAAGTTGAAAAGAGGGGATTTTCGGGCATAAATTGGATTTCTGGGCTATGTGCATCGATGCACATTCAAGGTGCATCAAGGGTAAATTTCCAGAAATTGTTCAGTGTGTATCGATGCACAGGAAGTGCATCGATGCACTCTTAAAAATGGAAATATCGAATGCAATTTATGCATCGATGCATAAGGAATGCATCGATGCACTTCAAGGGAAATATAATTATACCTTTCTTTTGGTCTACGAAATGATAGATTGGAGTATATCAATTGGATACTGATATGTATCAATGTATGATCATATAGATATCGAGCACGAACAAGTCCCATAACGATTATCAAATCAAGATTCAATCGAAAGAGATGAAAGCATAAAAGTGGATTGGAACTTAGTGAGACTCAGGTGAGTGCATACAAGTTAGTTATGATGTTTAATGGAAATAAGACTTACGACGAGTCTATTTCCTATATTAGAATGCATTAATTTATGATCATAGGCATATGTTTGATTTGGGTATATGTGATATATATTACAATATGTGTTAAATGATTGTGTGAATACATGTATTGTGATAAGTATAGGAATTAATATGAATGGTCTATATGATTTCATGGGAAGGTGAAATAGGTTATATGATAGGTGACCATACATGTTAATAGTATACGTGATCAATTATAAGAATCAATACAATAGATTTATATGACTATATGAGAAAGAGATGATGAGTTAAATAAGATTAGACTATAGAGTAATATGAGAATAATATATTAGTGAAGGGAATTGAGTATAAATGATGATACCAAACCATAAGATAAGTATTTACTTATAGGATAATATGATATTATATGAATATAAAATATAACTTTATGAGGAAGAATTGAGTGTTATATGATTTAGGTATGAAAATGATCTATGTGTAAGTAAATTACGTGATTATGTGACTATGTGTGAAATAGAGTAAACTAGGTAAGTATAAGGTATGTAAATATATGGCTATGGAACAAAGTATGTAATAATACAATGTTATTTGAGTTATTTAACAATAAGTCATAAGATTACATGCATATGTAACGTAAGTTATAAGATAAGAAAATATGGGCTTACATGTATTTGCGGATATGAATAAGGTATGATATATGTTTATGTAAAACCATGCAAAGTGATAGGAGAAGGGAACTACATGATTATGTGATCATATGAGAATGAAATAAAGAGCCATGTGATATATGCCATGAGATATATGAAAGAAAAAGTATATGTGATAAGTGAAAGTGAATCATATGATTATATAAAGATGTTCTACGTGCAAGTGATCTACGTGTATGTGTGATTTATATGGAAATGAACTACTTGACTACGTGTGATCTTATAAAAATGTAATAAAAAGACTATGTGTATATGTGAATGTGTGATAACATAAAGATTAATGCCCATGTTATGTGTCATGAGAGCTAGAGGTACAGTTGGCATGCCAAGAGTCAAGGGTCTACGCGGTCCTTCGGGACATATATGTATTCTTCGGAACATGTGTGAGGTCTTTTGAGACACATACTTGATCCTTGGCATATGTATATGATTCTTAAGGAATGATATGTGGTCCTTAGGGACAACCTTATATGGCACTTCGGTGCATTTCTACGCGGCACTTCGGTGCATTTCTACGCGGCACTACGGTGCAATTATACGTGGCACTTTGGTGCATTTATACGAGCTGTGGTGACAACATTAGTGCACAACCTCTATAAACTCACATATCTATAGTTTTCAGAAATGTACATGGGCTAGACAAAGATATAACAATAAAATATATTACATGTGAAAAATATGCTTTTGTGATATATGTTGATATGTGTATTGCACGAGTCATATGATGATATGTGTATTGTTTGGTTACACGAAGCATATGTTGGTTAACAAGGTTAAGTTCAAGAAGATATGATCAACACATATAAATGATAGTAATATGGATAGTGAAATAAGGCTAACGATAGAAATGATGAGTGAGGAATATATGTGTGTATATGTTTTTATATGTAATGATATATATATTGCATATGTGTTATAGGGATTTGTTACATGAATAAGGGTATAAGTGATAGTAGTAATGGTTCATACATGATTACAAGCTATAGTTTATATTTTATGTTTATTGCCTCACTAAGTCATCGACTTAGCGTGTGATTGTTTCACACGTAGGTTACCAAAGTGAGAAGAGTAAAGAGCAATGTGGAGCAAGACATGTCAGTTATTCTTACCAAAGGTCAGGTCAGAAGAAAGGTGAATAATATGTATTTTAATACATAAGTTTCTAGTTGGCATGTATTCAAGATAATATATTGTATAAGCTCTGAATAGTTCGATAAATGTTTTGAATAGGTTATATGTAATAATAAATTTTAAATTACTCACTATTTTATACAAGTAAAGGTTTTTTAAAGTCAATGTGACACTTCGGACTCGGATCCGGGTCCGTGTTGAATTTTGAGTTTAAATACATGATAAGTTTTTATATTTTTTTAAATAGTTCGATATTTCGGCTCCTGTCAATATTTAATTTTGGCTCGGTACATAATTTATTGATATATTTCATAATTTTTAAATGTTTATCTTTTAAAAATATTTTTATATATCAGAGTGACATCTATTGTTAGGCGGCGACTAACCCTAAAATTAGGGTTAGCAAAATATCCTCAATATTTGATAGAGGTTGATATTTTTGTAATTTAATGGACTGGATTTTTTTAAATATATATATATATATATATATATATATATTTGATTTTTTTAGAATAAAATTAGTGATTACAATCTTACCCACAAAAAAACAGGTGCTTCCATTATATTAACGATAAAGTACTTTATATTATGCATTGATTGTTATATTAACATATAATATTTATAATCACTCTAGACTATATATCTTTTTAAAAAACCGTCTATCCAAGAATTTTCTACATAAGAAAATAGGTAAAAATATATAAATAGTTATTATAGTATATTGATATAATTTTGTGACTAACTATTAAAATTTTCAAATAAGTATTAAAATGTTAATTTTGATATAAAATTAATATTATACATTAATTATTCTTAATTATTTTTAAATGGATTACATGATATATTATATTAATAAATAATACTTTATTTAGTCTCTTAATTATAACTAAAATTTTATTTTGATACTTTTTAATATTTTTAAAAAAATTCAAAAATATATATTTAAAATTATAAAATATACAAAAGTTATAACTCAAAAATATTAAAAATATTTTTATAATTTTAAAAATAAATTATAAACTTTCATATATTTAAAAATATTAATATGCTTTAGTTTTAAAAATTATTACTTAAAAATATTAAAATAAAATTTTGGTTATAAGTAGAAAATCAAAATCAAATATTATATATTAGTTTAATATGTCACATCATTCCATTATCGCTAATCCATGATAAATGATATTATGATATCCATTTTGTAACAAAATAAAAAATTTAATATATATTTTGTAATTTTAGAAAGTTTAACAATCGAAAATTATTTTAACATAATTAATCATCACTTGTGTAACTTTAGAAAGTTTAAATATGAAAAATTATTTTAACATAATTAATCATCAAGTAGCTTAAGTAGTAAAAAAGAATATTGTTCTTACCTGATAGGGATGGCACGGGACAGGTTGGGCCGCTTTTTTGGTCGTCCTGACCCTGACCCAAAAATATATTCCTTATAATCAATCATGTCCAGCCTTGACTCCACCTCTAACCATCCTGATCCCACCAAGATTTTTAGGATAAATCTCAACTCCGATCCTAACCTGATCTGAATATATTAATATTTTAAAATAATAAAAATAATGTATTTTATAATAATATATTTATAATTATTTGTAATATTTTAAAAGGTTAAAATAATATATTTTATAATAACTTTTATATTTTTAATAATTAATGAATATATTTAGCAATACAAAAATAAAAATTCATAAGATATTTGAAAGGATAAATTAATAATTTATACCGGATCGGGTCGGGTCAATTTTTTTCACTTTAAACCCGCCCCGCTCGAAAGTTATATACTATATAACCTATCCCGAACCCTTAATTTTTTTTTAAATCATCCCTATAGGATCAGGTCGGTAGGGACCTATTGAGTTTGGATATTTTGACAATCCCTATTCCAGAGGTAATGAGTTAAACAATTGTGTCTGTAAAACATGTCTACGTTGTCAATTAATTAGAAAAACTTTAAACATATATTATCTCGTAATCCCATCGTACTGTTAAAAAAAATTAATTTACTAATACTAGACACGAAACGATATTTGCATTTAACTTTAGTTGTTAAAATCGATCTCCAATGGTTTAAATCAAACCAACTCGTTCCATGCACCCCGTGTTTTTTTATATAAACACGTGCAATCTGGATCGGCATTCAAACTGCAAACAACAGAAATTTTCAACTTCTTTGAAAATGAGTAAAACCTCAGAAAAAAACCTTCTTCCCCTAGACATTGTGAGATTCAGAGATGAGTCGAAAGCTGTGATTGATTTCATTGCCGACTACTACAAAAACATCGAGAAATACCCGGTTCAAAGCAGAGTCGAGCCTGGCTACTTGTCGTCCGTGTTACCCGATTCAGCTCCGTATAGCCCTGACTCACTCGATGAAGTACTCAACGATGTGAGTGAAAGCATTTTACCAGGTCTTACTCATTGGCAAAGTCCTAGTTTCTTTGCCTACTATCAGGCAAGTTCTAGCACTGCTGGATTCCTTGGAGAGATGCTTTGCTCTGCTTTTAATGTTGTTGGTTTCACCTGGTTTTCGTCTCCGGCTGCTACGGAACTCGAATCCATCGTCCTCGATTGGATGGGCAAAATGCTAAGGTTGCCGTCTTCGTTTTTGTTCTCCGGAACAGGTGGTGGTGTCATTCATGGCACTACCTGTGAGGCTGTGGTTTGCACTTTGGCTGCTGCTCGAGACAAGGCCTTGAAAGAACTTGGAGGTGATTGGGAGAAAATAACCAAGTTCGTGGTTTATGCATCGGATCAAACTCATTTTACTTTCCAAAAGGCTGCAAAATTAGTCGGAATTCCCCCGTCGAATTTCCGGTTCCTTCAAACATCTTTCGCCACCAAGTTTGCTATGTCACCCGAACTACTTCGCTCGGCTATCGAAGATGATATCCAGTCAGGCTTGGTGCCGTTGTACATATGTGCAACGGTTGGGACAACAGCCTGCGGAGCTGTTGATCCTATTGCGGAATTAGGCCAAGTTGCCAATGAATACAAGCTTTGGCTTCACATTGACGCAGCTCACGCGGGAAGTGCTTGCATTTGCCCCGAGTTCCGGCATTTCCTTGACGGAGTCGAACTCGCATCGTCTCTTAGCATGAATCCACATAAATGGTTTCTCACCAACATGGATTGCTGTTGCTTGTGGCTCAAGGAACCGCATTTCTTAATCGATTCATTGTCTTATAATCCAGAATATCTAGAAAACAATCCAACTAAATCGAACGTTGTGGTGGACTACAAAGATTGGCAGGTCACTTTGAGCAGACGGTTTCGAGCACTGAAGCTTTGGATTGTAATCCGCCGGCATGGTGTGGAAAATCTCATGCACCACATTCGCTCCGATGTAGAACTGGCTAAGCAATTCGAGGCACTCATAACCGAAGATGAAAGGTTCGAGATCGTAGTTCCGAGGAGGATCGTACTGGTTTTCTTCAGGCTTAAGCCAAAGCATGGGCTAGACGGCAACGAATTAAACCGCAAATTGCTGGACGCCATAAATTCTAGTGGTCGAGCTTTCCTAACACAAGGAGTGGTGGCTGGAATTTACGCCATTCGATGTGTTGTCGGAGCAACTCTAACGGAAGAGCGTCATATGAAGGATTTATGGAGTCTCATTCTGGAAAAAGCTCGATTCATACTGCACCAATGCAGCCAGTAAGTCTCGAATCTATATTTGATGTTCCGACGTTCTTCTATACACAAACGACGAATCATATTAAAAACGATCAGTGCATCAAATGTAAACCATTTCCGTCGGGTTCAGACTTCGGAATTGTTTTGAAATTTCATGTATCTGTCAATGCTTCGTTATTGTATTTGTCGCCCGGGCCATTTGGCCGGTACATGGTAATAAATTCAGTCACATTTGTGACCACGCATTGATTGAAACTGAAATAAATTTGAAGGCCATAGCTGGTGAGAAGCCGAACTTTTTAGGCCATGAGCTAATTTTTTTAATTAGTCTAGAAAAGATAATATTTACTCGAATGACTTTCAATCATTTGACAATAAACACTCAAACACTCTTATAGATCTGAGACCTTTAGCGACGAAAAGAAAAGAAAATCAAAAGATTTTATCATTTATGATATTTTATCTTTTCATAATTAAAATATTATATATTTATAAAAATGTTATGCTAATAATTTAATTTATGTATATATTGATAATTTGTTTGTATCATGTTTTAATTATTTAATTACATTGAATTCTTTATTAACTTAATATTTTATATAATTTATCATAATGATTTAATTTTAAAGTTTTTAAGTCATTTTCTCTCTCTTTTTTATATTTTATGTTTTCATTGTAGAGATAATTCTCTATAGTTATTTTTCTTCTTTTCTTCTTCTTTTTCTCTCTCATTTCTCTATAATTTGAGTTATATATAAATATATATGTATATTTAATTAATTAATTTTTCATGAGTATTAATAGATGTTCATAATCATCAAAGATATCTCATGATTTAGGTGTTATAATGTCACTTTATCAACGAGACCCTTAAAATAATGTTTGCTTGTATATATTTTTATCATTGTTTGTTTATTTTTTATTCTTAAGTGGTTAGTTTGTGTACTTCGATGATGGATAGGAAAAATCGCCTCCTTGACTTTTATTTATTTTTTGAATAATTTCATATGATTACAAGATAATATCTATTTAAAGTCTTTATTAATCATTGATAATGCACGCATATCCTATAGACACAACTGTTCGAACTCAAGACTTATAAATAAAACAACACTCACCCTTTCTATCCTCGTCTTCTTAGGAACATGATTAGGGATGGGCATGGGTCGGGTTAGGTCAGGTTTTTGGTCCACCCGACCCGACCCGAGAAGAAGGGGACCTCCACTCGTGACCCGGCCCGACGAAATTAATTTTTCACCCGACCCGATAGATAATTTAAAAAACCCGACCAACCCGACCCGAAATAATAAAAAATATTTTTATTCAAAAAAACAGTGACTAAATTAAAAAAATAATATATGGAGGGGTATTATTGTAATTATTCTAAATATATATGGTAAAATTATATATTTTTTCCGGGTCGGGTCGGGTCGATTTTTTTCACACTAAACCCGAACCCGACCCGAACATCAAATAAAAAAACCGACCCGAACCCTATTTTTTTAAAAAATCCGATCCGATCAGGTCGGATCAGGTCGAAACCCGTCGGTTCGGGTTAGATGCCCATCCCTAAACATGATATGGCCCATTCAAGCTGTCCTTTCCCTATTCCAGTTTTAGAATGCAATGCGCCTGTATTTACCTTTTCTTTTTCCAGTTTAAATCCCCCACTACAATATGTTCAATCTTTTACCACATGGATTGGCAACATCCGTGAGATTCTATTCATCAATGCATATGTTTTTGGACCCATTAATCTTTCTCAATTCGAAGACATATTCTTTTCATTTTTCTAACCCATTAAACGATTTTAATGGTAAAAATAATGTTTTTCTCTAAAGGTCTCTCATTTGAGTAGTTGTAACTTATATTTGCAAGGTACATATGTATTGTTAATGACTAAATTTTTTTTAATATATATATTGTAATTATCCCAAACTGTTAAAAGAAATATATATTTGTCTTTCAATGTTTATTTTATGATCGATTTTATAAACACAGAAAGTTAGGTAAATACCTAGTCACATATATTTAAACATGATTATACTTATAATTATACATATAAAAGAATATGACTCTTCAAAATCTAAATACACAGATTGATTTGCGGGGAAGTGAGGCTGAAAGCATATTGATTTGCTTTATAGCAAACAAGAAAGGAAGGGCCAAAAGTGCAGTCAAAGTGGCCATGTCAAATGGAAGCAATCCTCTTCTCCATATCCATCTTTTGCCCTACATGTGAACTTGTCCCCTGCATCATTCAGCTTCCACAGTCACTTTTTTACATAATTATGTTTGAAATGAGGTTTCTTGATGTGTACCTGTGTCTTTCTGATGCATTCGATTTCCAAGTTCAGGTCATAGGAAGACGCGGCCGCTGTGAACTCCATCGAAAGAAACTGATTAAAATAAGAGAAGTTAGTTGTTTCATAAGGAGTTTGTGGTATTAATTAACTTGGGAGGTAAGAAACATGGAATTTACCTCAACTTGGTTCTGCAATGAATGAAAATAACTGATTATCTCATCCAGCATAACAGCTATCCCCATCGTCTGTCGAAATCCGGCTGAAGTCGTGAACTAATGTTGAATTGTTCAATAAGTCAATAAGTGTAGAGATTCATTCAAGTACCTTGTGGCAGCCTGGAACAAGGTCTTCTCATTTATTTTCTCCCTTCTTACCTGATAAAGGAAAGCGAGGCAGTGTTACTTGTAAATGAATGAACAATGTCTCGTGTATTTGGACAAAAAAGGATAAACCTAACCCTTTCTGCTAAACTGTGACTGTCAGTAGCTTGGCCCCTTTTTGCTCTTACATGAATTACTTTCTCCTCGTTCTTTGCTTTCTTCCCTTTCCCTAATCTCTGGAAAAAAAAACCATCAATAATATGTTAAAAAGAGATACATAAAGGCTCAAACCTAAAAAACAAGTGGATCACACACATTGTTTTTCCTTGTACTGGTGTTTCCCCCATGATCATTAGTGGAAACTGCTGGAGACATGGTGCTCGGTCGTTGTTCTTCGCCTTTATCTTCTTTCTTTCGACCAAAACATGTTCATTCCTGCCTGTGAGAACAGGTGGAAACTCTGGCAATTGGTGGACCAACAGGGTTTTGAAGTCGGTAGCAATGTTGAAATTATCCAACAGAGTTGAATTCAGCTGCTTTGTCATTTCCATGCCGATATCCATTTCTGACGTAGGCTGAGAGAAGCAGATTACAGACCTCAATTATGAAATATATTATAAACAGACTGAGGGCACTATATATAGGGGTAGCTCTGTTTTTTTGAATGGAAGTAAAATTGAAAACTCATGGGAGTTCCACTTTCCTTATCTGGTCCTCAACTCCCCCCCCCCCCCCTTTTGGTAGGCTCCATTGAGAAGATTACAGATATCCAAAATGGAATGGGCCATTGTAAGTTTTGAAGTGGAGTTCAGACATTGGAATATATATCTATATATGGTTTAAACTCTAAAGTTGCCTTAGTAGTAGTCTATGTTACAAGGATTCACCGGCTACTGTCGCCGTATTGATGTCGACCTCACGTTTCCATTATTTCAACAAAGGGACGAGTCGAAAGTTCGGTATGAATCCGAATACAAATAATTAAGAGGTTTAAATTTAGAAGTCTCTGTATTGTATTTAAAATTTTTTGAACTCATCAAGTGGTTTAGTGGTTAGAAATGAGTATTATTCTCCTTAAAGATTTTGAACTCAAGAAACTACATTTATTGTTGTGTGTTGTCAATAGTTAAAAGAAAGATTCTGAACATATATTATTTTATAATCACCTTAAGACCATTCAAAAAATTATTTTATGAACTCATTAAGTGATTACATGACTTTAATGGGCCCCTTTTAGGAAGCACCACAATTATTGTTTTTTGAACGTCTCAGAGTTTTAAATGTGTAATACATTTTGTTTGACGTGATGTAATGATCAATGACAAAAATCGTAGGTCAAATGATCAAATTAATTTTTTCTAAGTTTGAGGATCACATTGAATATAAAGATAGTTCAAAAGTCACATTGGTTCTTTTAAAACAAATGTGAGGGACTCAGATACATTTTTACCAAGAAAACATAACATTAGTTATCAAATTTGCATAAAAAAATAGATTGGTGACTAAAGTAGAAAAATATAAGAGTTTAGTGATTAGTATTGAATTTACCCAAGTTTAAATAATCTCTAAAAAGCCAATGAAACGGTTCTAGTTTTCTAACAAATAAATGACAAGTTGACAACTAACAGCTACGACATCGTTTTGCTGCTGACTAACCTTTGAAAACAATTCTTGTTTTATTTTTTAATTTTCGGCCGTTGAGTGAACCAAACTTTCCACCGCGCCTTGTTTCCCAACTCAAGACTTTGCGCAATTCTCTTAGCGTTTCTTCGTTCCATTAAATTGTAAGCCAATAATCTTTATTCATTATATACGTTTAACAGTTTATAACTCATTTTTCAATTTAATGATCCTGGAGAAAATATTTGTTTTGATGAGTATATATTCCTTTAAGTGATTGTTAAATGCATGAAAGATAGCTGGCATTTTTTACTCTTCATTTTAAGTTCAGAGTTGATGCTTTAAGAACCGTGTTTATTAAGAATTTTAACTTCTTTGACTGGTAGACTTTGTGGGTCAGTTTTGATTTTGAATTTTCTCCATTTAATTTCGTTGAAACTCTACGTTGGATACAATTATGGAAAAAAGAATCCGTCAATTATTTTTTTTTCCAGATGAATCAAGTTGCAATCTTCTTAATTTTTTTGTGAAGAAGTAAAATTGTCTCCTTGGAGAATCTGTAATGTTTAGAACTTGAGATTCTAATTGGCATGTCTTCAACCATGGGGGCTGGTGGGGATGATATAATAGCCTAAACTGTGTAGAAAGAGACACCCCCATTTGTTAGAATACGAGATTTTTGTTTGGAACTTTTAGGTTAATAATATGTGAATGGCAGCGTACTTCTATTCGTGGGAGCTGGTTATTTGCTGTTGTATGGCCAATCACCAATAGGTTTAGATGTAAAAAGAAAGCTACAATCAGAATTAGGAAAATATTGAATCCGTTAAGACTCTGTTTTTTCTCTCTTTAGTGCGTTAGGTGATGTATTGAGTGGGATAACTTTCATATAACATAGTTTATTTGATTCTCTTTTTGAGAGAAGAAATGAGATCATTAATGGGGTTGATCATATACATAATTGAATTGAGTTATTGACCTGTTTCCCCTATCCTAACCTCTTTATAATCTACTTAATAAACGTACTTAGAGTGTTTGCTGTAAAATTTTCCAGAGTTGGATTATATTCCTTATCTCTTAGAATGAATAATTCCTCTATTCGTTTTCATGTAATCAAAGGGGTGAACTATTCCAGGATTTATTCAGTTCTAAAATGTTTTTTCTTCCTAAAACTGTTAAAAAACTGTTCTTCCTCTTGCATACGCCATAATATGGGTTGGTCCACCATTTATGAACACCCATTCTTTTTGTTGCATGGATTTCGATGATCAGCCAAATTAGTAGAGAATGATTGAGGGTAGCATTATGATTGATTATATTTCTCTCTCTCTCTGTCTCACTCTCTTTTACGTTACTCCGAGGAATCGTTATAGATGATTTGCCGGTTCGGTAACTTTAAAATTGTCTACTACCTGAAGTTGTTAAGTAGTTAACATTCTATTCTAGTAAGTAGAGTTACGGTTTCCTTTTGTTTATTCCTTTTTTTTTTTTTGCATTTCATTACAAGATTGGTTGTTTAGTTAACATTTGACATCTTTGATACTTCCCCCTTGCTAGGAACCGCTAGGATCCATCAAAAGTTGTGAGCTTAGGAGCAAGTTTCTCAAATCCATTGGACAAATTTCTTATATTTTTTCTTTTCCCTATACGGTGGAGGACCACCTTTATTAGTTTAGGGATAAAACTTGCCTTGCATCAATTTCAGTTTAACTTCAACACTATTTTCTGTTGTTAACTTGGATTGCCAGGTCGTATACTTGCTGACATATTAGCTCACATCTTATCCACAAACAACGCAACTTGGTTATTATTACCAAATTATGTCATCTCTCCAGATGTAGCCTTTGTGAGAAAGCAACAACATAAAAGCTTTCCCTCTAATGTATACAGTGCAGATTATGATTGTAAACCTAAATAGAATAGGATGTAGATTACAACTTTCAGGATCCAACGCCTTGTAGCTCTTCTTTCCTCTAAAATATCTCAGTTCATATATTTCAAGAAGTTTGTTCTGATCCAGAAGCAAGTTTATATTGTTAGATACCAAAATTACTATGCAAGTTTTACTCTTTTCTTATCCTATTTTTATGCTTCACGCAAAAAGTATTTCTCTTTTCCTTCTTTTATGTCTTGCCTGCTTCTTTTCCTTATCATGCACGATACTCTTTGTTTTTGAACTTTTCTGTTTCTGCTTTCTTTTCTATTTTTTCCATTCATTGCTACTTCGGAGGTCGATGACACAATCGTTAATGTTAAAATTTAACTCATTCAAGAATGGACTCGGGTGGGTGGATGGTGGTGCTGCTACCATGCAAATTTTCAATATTATGCAGCAAGTTGTGTTTCATGTGCAAATGGGTGTGAGGAAAATGATATTACTACCTCTCGACTCTTTTTTGTCTTTTCTTTGGTAGGAATTACTCAATTTTCATTTCCTCAGTCTCTCACTCTGCTATAATAGTTGATCATAAAGCTTATCCCTCCGCCAGTTGATTGCCACTTGTACCAAGAAAAGCTTCAAGAAAAGCTCATCATCTTCACTAGAGCTGGTGTGAAGCTACTTGGAGGGTTTAAGCTTATGGGAGGTTTCATGATTTTTTTTCAGTTCATTCTTATGTTCTACACTCGTATGCTATGATTTTAATTCAGTTGGTCTAATTTATGGAAATGATTTGTTCTTTATGGATGAAACAATTGGGTTTAATTTGTCGGTCGCTTTGACGACCCAATGTGGCATCTTGGACCCTCTAGATTTCTAGATCCGGGTTGGGGTGTTACACCAAGTCCCAAGGAAAAGATAATTTCTTTTAAAAGCATAATACATGATCATGATTCAAGGGAGTCTCTCGTAGACATCATGTATTACTTGGAACCTTTTTCATTGAAAGCACATGCTTTAGATATCAAAGGAAAGTGTGGTTTGGACAAGAAAAAATGAAATAATGTATTGTTTTTGTAGAACGGTTAAGCATTAATTTTGAAATTCAACTCAGATTGATATGTTGATGTTTTAGGTCATGAATAAGTTGAAACATTTTTGAAATTCAACTCAGATTGATATGTTGATGTTTTAGGTCATGAATAAGTTGAAACATTCAATTAATATGAAGGAAAAAGCTACACTAAAAAAAGAAAAATGAAGGAAACTTATGAGGTATGGAACTTTATATTATCGACTAGATGCCATGATGTTCTTACGAACATTATCATGCTTTGTTATCTTAGATATGTTCCATTATGGAATTATATTAAGTTAATAAAATCTGTTAGTCGTTATTAGTAGGTTTGATTTATTGTCTAATCAGTTTTCATTTTAACTCTTGGCTGGACGGAGGGTGTGTTGGAGTGATTACTGGCTTGGCAATACAATTGAGTATTTCTAGAACACAATTTCCATCTTTATCGTACCCAAAAAAGGTATGGATCCCATCTGCTAGTTTCAGAAATTAGGAAGAAGTATCATGCCTTGTACTGAACAATATTACCTGCCATTTTGGTTTTTCTCGGACATTATAATATTATCCAAACAAATTATTTACTTCTTTCTATCCATTTTCTATTACTTTGTGGTCTTTTGTTATGTTAGAATCTGCGTGGCAGTTTCAAAGCTTGGGGGTTTGAAATTTGAAATCGTTATTTCATGTTGACGATACTCAACTTTATTCCTTTTTTACCTTTCGCATCTGCTGGTGAATCATTAAAATGCTAGTTAACTTAACCAATCCCGTTGTACAATTTATAAACCTGGTTGAATTTTCTGATTGTTCCCTTCTTCATAAAATTGTTCGACATTTTATGTAGGTTGAAGTGGTAACTGCTGTTATTTTTGAAGTCTCAAATGTAATTAGTATTTGCAGATGTATTCTGCAAAAAGAAATTATGAAATTATGAATCTCAAGCATATCTAGCAGGAACTATAATGTAAATTTTAGCTGTGGGCGTAGAATGCACAAACGAAATTCATTCTAGGTTTTAAAGCTGTATTGTTCTTGGAAAGGACAAACTTATGTAGTAACATTTTTCATTTTGATTTTAGTATGCCTCCAGAATCTCATACGAGGTATAGCATGCGGCTGCACCCGCTTGCTGAGGTAGTTTTGGGGCTGGTCCTTCTTTAAGGTAATCTAAATATTTTCAGGGTCTATAGATAACATGCTTCTGTCTAGTAATATCGCTGCCCTATTTTAGTGATCGCACAAATACAGGAACATGAATTATATTAGCTAGAAATTTATTTCTGGTGGTATCTGATAAATGTTGTGTTTCTATGACTTGTTTGGTAACAGATTAAGACAGTATTTCCAATTCTGATTAGGAGACACTAGAAAAGATTGGTAAAACTGTAAGAATTATCCTCTAGTGCAAATGAAAACATCGAGGCTTGCACTGAACTGAGAATTGAATACTACAAATATATTACATCTCGGATTCGTAATGAGCAGTTTATGAGACAAGGGATCATTTAGTTCATTTTCATGAATGATACATCTCTGTTTAAGGAAAAATATCATTTCTTTTGGTACTGGGTAAAACATTTTAAGTTGGCACTGCTTCACTCTACATGCAATTAATTCATGGAGATAAAGGTGCCTTGTATGTGCATTTGTACATTTAGCTTTACATTTAATGCTATGATGTAAGTGGACATAGGTCGATTATTTGGATTTCAGATGCTTTCTCGACACTTGGAATAGCATACTGATAGGTAGTTATGCCAACAGTGATTAAAAATGCACAACAATCAATAAACAACTCCAATTCAGTAGAAAGGATATTTTAGATGTTGAACCTCTTTGAAGACCATACAGGTGTTAATTTATCGTATTTGAGGCTGTTTTGCAGACTATGTGTTTTCACCAATAGACATCTATTCCTTTTATCCTTATCTTGCTCCCCAAGTGCTGTTCATCATGTTTATCTATAATAGGGTCTCTTCCTGAGTGAGTGAGCGATGCAAACCAATTTATTTCTTGATCTGGGAAAATATCATTTAGTAATAAATAGGATGAGATATGCAAAATATCAATGTGCTGATGCAACTAAGAGATCTTAAGCTTGTGTGACGGTAAAATAATACGATGTGGAGAAAGGAAATGTGCAATGTAGGAACCCCTTTGTAATGGATGAACGGGATATTTTGTTGAACATGATCAACCCAAATTAGTCTTTTGATAGTTGTTAAAGAAAGCCTCGTTAAAATGGAAATGAAGAGGCAAGAGGATGAAGAAAATAGCAGGGAGCAGGACTGGAAACTGATTAAAATCCATCTTTCCTTTCCTTTTTCTTTATTCTTTTTTTTCTTCGTCATTTTTTTAAATGGTTCATTTTAGAGGGATCATATATCTGCCATAGAAAAAGGCGAACCAGGAACTTGAGGCAACAAAACACCTAGACAAATACCGAGAAATCAGAAAATAGAAAAGAATTCCTTCTAAGTCTGCATAATTCACTGATGTACTGCAGTTTCAGAAAATGAAAGATAAAATAACAAGGGTTATGTTATACCCTAATTTCATGTTCTAAAATTTATTTTAATTCTCTCGCCAAATTCTTTTAAGGATAAATGAATTCGCAAATGGAAATTGTATGAGTAACCTTATCTTTTTGCAGAGGTATCACTCTCATGTTTTTGAATGGTTTTAGTTGCTAGGGTTTGTACATTTTCATGTGTGAACAACTTCAGTCTCACTGTTATTCTTACCACCAATGTGGAATATGAATTCAACATATCCCGAACTCCTTGAGTACTAGTTAATGTTATTATGCATGGTTGTATCTTTTAGTTTTACGAATAAAAAGTACCAAAGCCTGCAGAATAGAGGTTCAGAACATGAAATGATTTGCATCTTGGTTTAGTTTAACCAAGTAACTTATGGGATTATTTTGTGGGGAAATTTCTATGGTAAAGCATATGGGATTTAATGCTTTCCTCTTTTGAGTTTGCTTACTAAATTTGTCTCAAAATATCATTTGCATGTTTCCCTTTCTGTTCTTAGTAGGAAGAAAGTAGGGAAGACAGTAAATTATGTTTATTCATGGTCTTGTATCAAAGTAGAGTACCAGAAAAGGCCTACAGATTCTTTTCCAGTTTTCTGGTCTATCAGTAGCTAAGCCTGATACGGTATAGATTTATTTCCATCATATTTTACACTATCAGATTTTGACCCTGAAAATTTTGTATTAAAGTCTCTAGTTTAACATGAATATTTTCCCCTAATTTACTGCATGCTGGCCTTTGGTTCTGAACTTTAGCGATGGTGGCTTCGATGTAGCCTTTATCAGGCTTTCTTTCACTATACTTGTATCAAATTTCAGCTAGTAGTTTTCTATTTACATGAAAATGCTATTTATGTATGCGTGCGCATTTTTTTCTTAGGCCAGTTGACAATGCTGTTTTACAACCTAAAAGATGTTCATTTTTTTCTTCTGAAAAGGAGAATATCAATGTTTTTGTTCAATCAGGTTACATCTTCCTGCACTCGAGTTGTATCGGATGATTACAACAACTCCAGCAACTGGTCTTATCAGGTAAGCAAAGACTTTGATTAGAAATCCTTCACTTTAATAATATACAGATTTCTTTTGCATAGCTTGGATTTTCTTGGATCTTATTCACCAGTTCAATAAAAAGAAAATTCAGATCTATGTAGATAGAGATGTATTTTACACCATATATGGAGAGCCGTGGACTCAATTTTGCTGAAAATTCATTCTGTCGTCTCAAAGGCATTCATTAGGATATTTTAGAGATAAAAATATAAAATCTATAAAAATCCATTTTCATATCTTATTTTGGAAATTCAAAGGCGAGATTAACGAAAACCCTGAGGTTTCAAAATGTGAACTATGGCAACTTGTCATAAATTTGTGTTTATCTATTTCATCAGCTTGAGGTGGATTGTTCTTCTTAATTTCACATACTGGGTTAAGAATCTGCCACTTATTTAAAGACTACATGTTATTTCACTAATTTCATTTTGGCCCTCAATTCAAAGAGCATCAGTTATATCTTTTACATACATATATATGTATATATGTTATGTTATTTTCAAATATATATATATATATATATATATATTATGTTGTAAAGAAAAAAAAGTATTAAATTTGATACCCAAGCGAAGACTAAACCCCCTCATGCATGCGGTTACGCTTTTTAAAACGTGGAGGGCATCATTAAAGACAATACTTAAAATCATTGAAGGAAATTTGTGAAAACAAGGCAAGTCCAAACACAGGAGAGAAACAAACTTTCAAAATTTCAAGCGAATGGAGATTTCTTTTACTAACCCCAAACCCTCAAAAAAAAAATAAAGTCGGTTGACGGGTCCCATAAATTGCATGGAATAGTATTTCCACGTGGCCTCCTTGCATGGCCACGTAAAGTTGAAGTTTTTGAAACGCTCCTCCTTTTCTCGGTTGATTATCTCATGGGATATCAACTTTTTGGCAAATTTATTGACATGGTAAGTTCATTATGACCGTGAGTAAGCTCGTTTTCATTGAGGAAAAGTAAAACCCTAGAAGAAAAAAAATCTCACTTGACAAACATGCTACATTTTACTGCCCCCTTACAAGGTCCTATATAATCCAACCCACACTTGCACCGTCTTTCTCACCGACCGCTCTTTCTGTCCCTGTCTTTGTCTCTCTCACTTTTTCCTTGGTATCTTCTTCTTTTGCTGCCTCGCATTTCCTCTCTCTGTATCATTCTCAATGAAGAAACCTAAGGTTAGCCCCGTGTATGAAGGGAGAGGATGGAAGGGAAGCAAAGAGTCAAGGAGAGAGAGAATGACTGCAAGGGGAAGAAGAAGGTCAAGGGTGATCCAGGAGCTGGATGAAGCAACGTTGTACGAGGTTGAGATTATTCAGGCTCCAGAAGAGGAGCCGAGTGATTATGACATGGATACAGAGCAGGAGCAGCAGGAGGAGCAACGGGAGGAGCAAGTGCCTCAGCCGCAGCAGCAACAGGAGAAGCAAGTTCAGCAGCAGCCTGTCGATGAGGTGGTACCTGGGGAGAATAAGGGAGATGAGGAGTCGTTGGTCTTGGATGACTTGCCAATGATATGTAACTATGAGGAGGGACGGTCGTTTTTGAATGCTGGGTATGGCTTGAGATGGCATTCCTGTTGCGAACCATGGAATGAGTTTTGGGAACCCTTTGGAGGCGTCAACTTCGAGCCTGTTTGGGATGATGCTCCATGGGACTTTAAGGACGGCGATGAAACCAAACATCTCTAGAAGAAAACCTGTTATGTTTCAGTTTATCGAAGTTGTTGTTGTTGACTGGATGTTTGTTGTTTGATGTTTGCCTGTGTCTTATAGAGTCAAGGGTGTTGTCTGTGTCTTTTGTAGCAAGTGTTCTATAATATGAACTATCTGCTTTCTTTTCTAAACTCTAGCTGTTCATTCCAATAATCCTTTATTTTGGGGTATAAACTTGAAAAATATATAAGAACTTGTTTGCATTCAAAGGTCACTGGTACTATTCAAATCTGAGTTAATTCTGAACCTGATTGAGATAGGTCACTTGAAACTTGAATACAACCAACAGGCTATACTTGGTGTAAATTCTATTCTTTCTTTCATCTCTATCAGACTCTAACTTCTGTCCTTTTTTTCAGATTCGGTCAAATAACATTAGTAGCATTAATACATTTAATTACATGTATAGTTCTATTGAAAGAGAAAACTTATACTTGCCACTGGAAACTTTTTTGAAGGTATATGCTTAGGTTTACTGAAGAGTGAAGACTGATTAACATCTCCCTTTACCAGGTTACTGTGCAAAATCATACTCGAGCATTCTAACATTATATGTATGTGTGTGTATGTGTGTAAACTAGCAGGTGTGTTCAAACCCTTTGTTTAATCTGAATCAACAGTAGTCTAACCTTAGAATGCTGCTAGCCTTTCTAATAGGAGAATCAAAAAAGATTTGCAAAGATAAAATACAAATGAAGATGACTGGAAGTTGATGAAACCCTATGAAATTTCTATAGAAATATTGTTATTGACTGTCATATATATATATATATATATATATATCATTGCACTTGTGTATTGGTGGAGATTTTGATTTTAAGAAAGATTGTGTTTGTTGCTGGTGTAAGGAGTTTGTAAATGTCAACTAGTTCAATGAACCGTGTCGACAATTTATTGTCGATAGCAAAAGCAACGCGAAGATGGGAATAAAAGCACTAGATCGTAACGGTTGCGATATACAATAAGTTCTATATTGCTTAGGGTTATACGAGATTTTAGAGTCGAGAATTGAACTTATCGTAAGGAAAATTGGAAACATCGTTCTAATTATGGAAAGTATATATATATATATTCTCAAGAATGCCATTTTTGTAGCAGTTAGGATACGTAGCGACATCTGATAGGTTCGAGTTCCATCCAACGTAAGTAGCATTTTCCCTATCATTCTCTTGATCTATACATTTTCAGTCTCGGAAGACTGTCTGCCAGTATCAATGTTTGTTTTGTTGGATTAATGGCTTTACATATATGTGTTTTATGTAGTGATTTGGTTAATGTATACTTCAAAGGCAGTCTTAAGTGGTTTTTTTATGTAAGATTGTTTCATAGGGTAGATATCATTCAAGAAATGCACACCTTGTGATCTACATTCTTTGAAGGCTATGCTATTGTCTGTGTGAGTTGTGCCTTGATACATCTCTTCTTCTTTTTCTAAGCTAATTGTTTGTTGTTAGCTTTGAGAATATTCCTCCTCCATATGCATAGCTATTGCTGTTGTACCAGCCTTGTCCAGTATATATATATATCTGTAATTGATTTTGTCAGCTGCTGGGAATAAACATAGTAGGTTTTATAGTTAAGAAATGCTTATATTAAATTAGCTATGGAGGGTTCTTTGGAACCCAGGAGGTCATGCAATTGTAATCAATAAGAACACAGGAAGGAAGATATTGGCTTCTTTTGCCATTCATCTCATCCGGTGATTTGGGGTGTTGCTAACCCTATGTCTGGTTGGTGTTAAGTAGGGAAAAGAAAGACAAGGAAGGGAAAATCAATGTGGATGGGGCGTATGTAGCTGTCTCAGGGGCTGCAGTTGCTGGTGTTATTGTCTGGGACTTTCGAGGTATCTGAAATTTATTCCGTATAAAACTCTTCTTTTGTATTTTTGCGAGCTGATGAAAAAGTAAAAAACTCAGTTTAAGAATATTTATTTCTATGTAAGTTTCCATTGTGAACAAGAAACTTATCAATATTAAGGATTGAAGTTTAGAAGTGAGTTGTTTATTAAATCTCAAATTGTGTTTAGACGTAAATCTTCTTATACTATTTTCCAGCATAATGAATTTTTTTCTTAAAATTTTTTTTCACGTTAAATATTAATGTTTTTTATTTTATGATTATTTTATATCCATTATTATCGTACTTATATTATTACATATATGACACCATGTAAAAGAATAATTATTTTAATATATTTTTCAAATAAAAAAAATCTCCAAAGACAAAACTAGGGGTCTGATCATGGTTGGCCAGGCTCAACCGGTTTCGGACCTGTCGGAAATATGTTTGGTACAGGCTCCGGCCGTTACAGCCGGCATTCGACTTGCAATTGAATTAGACTGGTCTGCTGCGATCTTTGATAGCGATGCCGCTAATATAGTTCATCAGTAGCTTCGGCGTCGACTTGATTTGTCGAAAGTGGGGAAGAAGCTCCACTTGCATCTATGTTCAAGAGGTGCTGGACTTCGGTTGAAGGTGTATCATGGAGGATCAACCGCGATGCATGAGGGAGCCATCTTGGCGAGTTTTTTGACCACTGCATTTATCGATATGGAAACTCAACTGAGACGAGTTTTACAAGTATGACGATCAGAACAACAATAAAACGGACTAACGAGTTCAAATTTCTATCTACTAACGAGTTAATTGACCACTTACAAACTATCAGTTTTAATTTCTTTACGTATTTTTTTTTATTAATATGAGTGTATATATATCATAATAAATTTTAATTTTAATCTATAATTTGTATAAGAGTTTTATTCTAGATAAAATAACCTCAGTGACAAAAAATGTCTTATAATATACGATTTTAATCAATTTTTTTTGGATTTGCCAAAATGATCAACTAAATCGCAATGCGATCGATAATTCGCAACGCGATCTCCGGTATCGCAAATCAGTTTCCAGATTCGCAACGCGAACTTCGACTATCGCGTTGCGATTTTCCAAATTCGTTGCGATAGTCCAAGTTCGCGTTGCGATTTATTCCAAATTCGTTGCGATAGTCCAAGTTCGCGTTGCGATTTATTCCAAATTCGTTGCGATAGTCGAAGTTCGCGTTGCGATTTATTCCAAGTTCGTTGCGATAGTCGAAGTTCGCGTTGCGATTTATTCCAAGTTCGTTGCGATAGTCGAAGTTCGCGTTGCGATTTATTCCAAGTTCGCGTTGCGATAGTCCAAGTTCGCGTTGCTATAGTCGAAGTTCGCGTTGCGATTTATTTCAAGTTCGTTGCGATAGTCGAAGTTCGCGTTGCGTTCGTTGCGATAGTCAAAGATTGCGTTGCGATTTATTCCAAATTCGTTGGAAATCGCAACGACTGGTGGTATTGCATTTGTTTCTTAAGAATTTTCTCTAAAAAAATAGTATTCGCGCGGACGTGTCGAAGACACGTATTACCACGACCACGACCACGAGACGAGACGAGACGGCGGCGGCGCGCGAGTGTCCCCTTGTTCTCTATCACTCAACAAGGAAGTGGGAAAGCCAAGCCTTAAATACCATTCACAATAGTGTTTACAATACTATGTGGGATTGAACATTACCAACACTTGTTCCCAATATTATGTGGGATTGAGCCTTAAATAGTGATACTATTTGTGAATTATAGTTAATGACTTTAATATTTGTATGAAAAGTATTTGTGGTTCGTTTAGTTTTCATGCAATTCTAATTTATTTTCAATTGATTGTAATTGCACGATAACAATTTTTTTTTCTCGCGAGTGATGCAATTTTTTTTGAATGTTTTGCTTAAAATTGCAATAATCGTGATTGATTGTAGATTGACTTTTAATTATGACATATTTAATCGTATAATACTAATGCAATTGGTTGCTAATTCAATTGTTTTAAGGTGCATGATTGTTAATTGTTTCTTGAATAATCACATAGTATTGGAAACAAGTGTTGGTAATGCTCAATCCCACATAGTATTGGAAACACTATTGGGAATGGTATTTGAGGCTTGGCTTTCCCACTTCATTGTTGAGTGATAGAGAACAATGGAAACTCTCGCGCGCCGCCGCCGTCTCATCTCGTGGTCTTGGTCGTGGTCGTGGTCGTGGTAATACGTGTCTTCGACACGTCCGCGCGAATACTATCTTTTTAGAAAAAATTCTTAAGAAACAAATGCAATACCAGTTGTTGCGATAGTCGAAGTTCGCGTTGCGAATATGGAAACTGATTTGCGATACCGGAGATCGCGTTGCGAATTATCGATCGCATTGCGATTTAATTGGTCATTTTGGCAAATCTAAAAAAATTAATTAAAATCGTATATTATAAGACATTTTTTGTCACTGGAGTTATTTTCTTTTTATTCTATTGCACATTCATCTAATTATCACTAAAATTTTAAATAAAATTTAATAGTTTATATAAAGAGTTGTTACGCCATAAATTGAAAGAAACAATTTTATAATCTATCTTAAGATAATAATAAATATTATCTTTTTTTTTTAAATTTGTAAGAATACTTAAGAAAATTAGTCACTATTTTAAGATGGTTTGTGATATTAAATAATAATTTTATTTCAAATGATTAATTATTTCAATTTATTTAAAAAACAAATTTGAAATATTAAATTAGTTATATAGTAAAAATTAAAGGATAATTTTTTAATTCATAACTTTTAATAAATTTGTGTGTGTGTGTTTTTTTTATTTTATTTTAATAATCGTCTTACATATATATAGATAGATATATTAATTATTTAATTTAAACTTTTTAAGAAACTAGTCATCAATTCCCAGCGTGGCAGGCCCAAACCAAAACGCACGGGAGTCTCTTCTATTCGCCAGCTGTCGCATGATCATTGGATCACTCCATCTTTATCTCATACTCTCTCTGTTACCATTTTCAAAGAAAAACAAAATAATAAAAAAAATCAATCAACCCTCTTGGTCTCTTCAGTCTTCGCTATAATAAATTTCTCCGCTTTCTCATTCCCACCAACAAATCAGAAGGAAAATTAACAAGGGAGAAAATATCGTCGATCGGTACGTTGTTCTGGACCAGCGTTTTATTGATAATTTTGGATTTTATTTCTTTACTTTGAGATCTATATGGTTTTAAGTTTTCTTTATATATATTTCCCTGATTTTGTTAATGGCTGTTTGATTGATGCAATGAATGGTTTTCCACCTTTCTTTATTGGGGTAATCTTAGTGTTTTAGATTCAATCTGTTTTGGATTTGATCTTTTTATTGTTTGATTTGAATATTTAGGGTTTTTCTTTTCTTTTCTTTTTGTTGCGATCTGTTTGGTTCCTAGAAATTGGGCGAAAATGAAACAGGAAATTTTGTTGCCAAGATTTTAGAGGAAATGTTTCGCTAACAAAAAACAACAGTTTGGATATTGTGAAACTGTTGGAACGGAAAAGATGGGAGATACTGCTAACGACATTATCTTCCTAACAGTTTAGATCTTATTATTATTATTATTTAATTAATTTTAGGACCTACCTTTTGGTATTTTTGACACAAATTAGATCGGATCTGTGAGTTAAATAATTTGAAAAAACAAAGAACTAAAAATTGAATACCATTTTATTCACCAAAAAAAAATTGAATACCATTTTGATTCTTTAAGGTTGAAGAATGAGAATGTATCAAATGATTGTTCTAGATATGGATGCTATTGTTTATACCCAGGATTTGATTAGAAATGTTTGTATAACAAGAGTGGATCTTTCTGTTTTTGCAGGATTAAGTGTTAGATTGATATTGTAAAGATGTCTCCAACAGAATCATCACGAGAGGAAAATGTATATATGGCCAAGTTGGCTGAGCAGGCCGAACGTTATGAGGAAATGGTGGAGTTCATGGAGAAAGTTGCCAAGACCGTGGATGTTGAGGAGCTGACCGTTGAGGAGCGGAACCTTCTCTCTGTGGCTTACAAAAATGTGATTGGAGCGAGAAGGGCTTCATGGAGGATCATCTCTTCCATTGAGCAGAAGGAAGAGAGCAGAGGAAATGAAGATCATGTTGCACAAATAAAGGAGTATAGGGGCAAGATTGAAGCTGAGCTCAGCAATATCTGTGATGGGATTTTGAACCTTCTTGAATCTCACCTCATCCCTTCGGCCTCATCCGCTGAGTCGAAGGTGTTTTACCTTAAGATGAAGGGTGATTATCACAGGTATCTTGCTGAGTTCAAGACTGGTGCTGAGAGGAAGGAAGCTGCCGAGAACACTTTGTTGGCTTACAAGTCTGCTCAGGTGGGTGAATTGGTGATGTTGTTTTGTCAATATGAGTTATTTTCAGTATAATTCCCGAGCATCTACTGAAAGATTAAGATGGAATTTCTTAGCCTCTCTTTATTTTTGTTTGTGATGACAGGATATTGCTCTTACTGAACTTGCTCCTACTCATCCAATTAGGCTCGGACTTGCCCTTAACTTCTCTGTTTTCTACTATGAAATCCTCAATTCACCTGATCGTGCCTGCAATCTTGCAAAACAGGTTTTTATTCTCTACTGCTTTGCTATTAATATCTTCTTATTATTCACATAGTTCAGTCATTGATCTGGAACAGCTAATAGCTGTCTTGGTGTGGTTCAATGGTTTTGGATGGCACAGTAAATTGTTTTAATTTAATCCCACCCAAACTGGATTTAATTGTGACGGCAGCTCCTTGTATCTAAGTAGTTTGTTGCATGATTGAGGAACCAACCTGTTAACATCTAAAAGACTTACCATGCCAATCTGGTTGATACTTGGAATTTTACAGATATGGAATGTTACAGACATTGAATCAGGAAAAAAATTGAATTGATTACTCTATATAAACTCATTTTGCTTTTGAAATCATTATTGAATTAAGTTTTTTGTGTTCTAGCTTAGACCAAGTCTGAACTGAAATGTTTGTGATTGTTTTTGTCCATGTGATGTCTGGTAATGCTGTAAATCGATATCCATTTTCTGGGATTTATTAATTTGTATTCAAGTTATGAGGATTAGATTGTTCTTATGTGAAGAACCACAAATGGATTCTCAATGACATGAAGTGATTGTCTAAAGGTTTCTTGTCAGCTAAAATGACATGTTTTTCACTTGGCAGGCTTTTGATGAGGCTATTTCTGAGTTGGATACTTTGGGCGAGGAATCTTACAAGGATAGTACCTTAATCATGCAACTTCTCCGGGACAATCTGACGCTTTGGACATCTGACATCACGGTATGTCACACGCACACTCTCTCCCCTCCTTATGTGTGTGTACACAATCATGAAAATTTTGTGCAGATCTGTTGTCTTTTGGCATCAAATAAAAATCTCTTCAAAATTGCAATGATTTTTTTGCATTGACATGGATTTGAAAAATGTCAAAAGCTATGTTCTCGAGCAAACCGTTTTGCTTTCATCGTCATGACTACAGTTATCTACCATAGTGTCTACATTTCCAGGCATTACATTTTATAGAATAATGCCTGGACTACTAGCCCTAAGTTTCAATTGATCTCCAAGTTAATCCCTTGCTTCTTTAACCGCACCAAGAATGTTCTGCCAAAGTATACATGCAAACACATTTCACCTTATCACATTAATTTCAGAACTAATATTCTGATGTTATTGTTGTTATGTCATGGCTCCTGTTAATTGTTTCATTGATTAATGTCGGATGTTCCTTTTCAAGTTGATGGATGTTCTCAAGTTCTCTATTCAAGATGGTTTCTTGTTTTGTGATCAATTTGTTTTGTTCCTTCATTTAAGGATGAGGCTGGTGATGAGATCAAGGAAGCTTCGAAAGAGTCAGGCGAGGGACAGCAGTGATGAGATAAGTTCATAAGAATTGTGCTCTGTACCTTTTATCTGCAGATATACAATACATGGATGCGATGTGGGTTGTCACAGAAGGTTTGGGTTTTATTTTTTAAATGCATTCATCTTGGAGTCAGAACGTTCCTCTGAATTAAATGTGTCTTATTTTTGAACAAGAAGAAATTGATTGGGTTTGATTTGTTTTCCATATATAGTGCTGAATTATAGTGGGTTTGGCAATCTATACTTTCTTTGAATTTTAGTTACTTGCCGTTGTAAGCTATTATCCATGTTTCTACCATTTGCTTGGTGAATTAGTTCTTAGGATGCTGGAAAGATTAATTTGAGTATTTTATAAAATTAAGATTTATATTAAGAACGGATATTATATAGGGTGGGAATGGAAAGGGAAGCAATTTTTTTAACTTTAAATTTCAATCATCAATTTACATTCATCCACTGATCCAAAATTAATGTAATTAATTTTTTTTTGGATAATTGGATCTTTGTGATTCTCTGTCATAGATTATCTTCAAAAATCTTTATCATCTAATCTATAATTTCGTAGTGGAACTCAAATTAAAAATTATATAATGTTTAAGCCTATACATACAATAACATCGTATTGCTAAAAACCAATTGTCTTATTAAAGCTAAACCTTAAATCATTATAACTAGTGTAATGTTACTGCTAGATTTTCAAGTTTCATGAAGTCATGGTGATGTTACCAGCAGCGCCATGGTTGACGCAGCCACTACAGTAACTAGGTCTAAATCTACTGTTGAACGTACCGGCATGGAGGAGCACTATATAGCGATTGGCTAACTACTGATATTGTGACGAATGATTCCAATGCTTGCCACAAACACGTCAAACTTTCAAATTAAACCAGAAGTGTTAGTTACACCAATACGAAGCACACGAAACAGCCACCACAGCACGAGAATTTTCCAATAACCAAGACACGAGTACGGTAAGATATGAATAATAAAATATAGGGGGAACAATTAGGGAGAACAATTGATGGAGGTACGGAAAAAAGAGGGCATATATACGTGGATGATTTTCTTAGTCATCGATGATACTGTTCTCACTTAAAGATTCTAAATTAAAATTTTATAGTTTTAACTGGGTTACCTCATAGAATTTAAGATTGATATTATAATAAAATTACTAATACATGTAACGATATATATATATATTATGTGATTTGTCATCTATATTGAAATGTGTGTTTATCTTGATTAATATAATTATTTTTCAAAACTAAAATCTGAAAATCTTCTTTTTAAATATAATGTCTTATCATTATATTTAATATATATATATATATATATGTAATAAAATCTAGATTTACGTAGATGAAAATAATTCTACTCGAACGCGAATTACTTAGAATAATTCTTTCTTAAAATTAGAATGTTGTATGTATTAGAGTTTTTTACGTGATTATATTTTGTACATTAATAGGCGTTCGGTACATGCTGCCGGGTTGAATAATTAACGAGCCTGCTTTGAAGCCAAGCCCAACTAGATCTCTTAAATAGCCAATTGGATTTCCTTATTAGGGCACGGTTTATATTTATTTTTACTACATATTGACGCCCAACTCTATTGAAAATTTGGATTCCCGGGAATTTCCTCTCTATTTTCTGTAAAAAAAAAATATTCCTACTCAAATCTGTTTCCCGCTACTACAAGGGAGGCGGGAAACTGAAACCCAAATCCAATTCCAAAATCGAAAATCTTCCAATAAAAATCCCAAAAATATTTCGATTGGTTGAGACCTAGGAGTTCGAGGGGGACAGAAAAGAAGAAGAAGAAATGGATGTTGTTTCAACTCCTTCTTCCAAAATCGAAGAAGTACATCAAACTATGGGAAGTGGAATTCGAACCTTTGAATCTGAAAATGGGAAAACTTGTCACCAGGTATTTTTTTCTTTCTATTTTTCTTTTTTAAATTCTTTTTGTAATCTGTTCCTTGGAATTGTTTTTACTTATTTTTTTTCAGCGTGTGCGAAATTGTCCGATCTGGTATATGCTGATTTGTTATGATTAGTCTATTGGGAAACACGTGTTTTCTTCTTCTTCTTGTCATATGGTATTTGGATTATTGAGATTTGTACAATAGGCCTGTTTTTGACACGGGCATGCTTTACATTTCCCCCCACCCTGAGTTTTTCCGTTATAGTAGGGTCAAACATCGATATTCTTATATTCGTTAGATATTTACAAAGTTAGTCTTGATGCATCACGGCAAATGAAGACTTAGATTGTATAAAGCTATCAGATCTCAATGGATAACTTTGTTAACTTATTTGATGTATAATTCTCTGCTTTGAGCTTTTATTTTATTTTCCCTGACGTTTCTTTTTCCTTGGGATCAAATGCTGAAGTGCCGGCAAAAAAGAATTAATCTCTTGGCTCCATGCAAGAACGTGAAAAAGGACAAGCAATGTACCATCAAGTATTGTAAAAAATGTCTATTGAACAGGTTGTTGCTTTGCTCTGACATTTTAGTTGTTGAGCAATTCATTTAATTGTATAAAGCTGTTAACGTAAAGTTTTTTTTGGATTGATATTTGATAGATATGGAGAAAAGGAAGAGGATGTTGCATTGTTGGCTGATTGGAAATGTCCTAAGTGCAGAGGCATTTGCAATTGTAGCATGTGCATGTAAGCATACTGAACTGTGGATGTTACTATTGCTGATTTGTTGGTGTTAACTCTGACCAATTCTTAACTGGGTACTGGTATTTTAGGAAGAAAAAGGGTCACAATCCTACTGGTATACTAGTGTTCACTGCAAAGAATTCTGGGTTTTCTTCTGTTTCAGAATTGCTTCAAGCTAAAGGACCTGAAAATTTTAAATATGAAAGGAATGCAAAAGATACGGGCGTTTCAGCAAAGAAGCAAACAAAGGTTTGACCTTGTTTTTCTTCCTAATGGTAATTTATTGGTTTGTCTCTATTTTTGGGTGATGGATTTGTCTTTCTGATATTTACAGGAGTCTGTGGCCACTTCACCGAGGAAGCTTGGGAAGGAAAATTCTTTTGATGGTGACTGTGATTCCAAGGTTAGTTCTCAGAATTTGATATCATCAATGTCTGAAGAAAATAAGTCTAAGAAAATGAAACGTGAGGGATTGAAGGAATTGTACAACGACAATGGAGATCATGAAAGGCCTAAAACCTTGAAGGAAGCTTCAAATGAAACAATGAAGGCAAGTAGTTGTCTTTCAGATGAAAAGAGGTTGAAGACAGAAAAGCAAATTGATGATGCATCCAGTCCCACCAACGAACATGAAACTAAATGTGCTAAAAGCAAGAAATCAGGAGTTTTAAACGGAGTTGAAGTTTTGGAGATCGGTAAGAAAAGGAAGTCCACAACTTCTGATGAAAAGTCCGGGAAAAAACTGAAGTCAAAAGAAAATTCTGTGGGCGAGGAAAAGAATCTTAAGAGGCAGGTTCTAGAAAGCAACACAATAGCTCCCATTAAAGAGAAAAAGTGTGGTGTCAAAACTGGGGATTCTCAAGGTTCAGGTGGTTTTGAAAATGACAACACAGTCTGCAAAGTCCGGTCAGTTTTAAAGCCTTGCAAAGATAGAAAGCTTGACTTAGACATTCAATTGCCTCTTGGCACCAGCTTAATAACTGTTGCTGGTGTTGATTTACCTCCCAATGATGTCGGTCGTGCATTACAGTTCTTAGAGTTTTCTGCAGCTTTTGGAGAGGTATGTAAAATAGTGTGATACTATTTTGATTTTAAATTTAACATTCAACACTAGATGCATCTTTTTTAAAATCTTACCTTTATCTTTAGTTGAATAATATTGAACTATTTGATGGTAAAAATCTTGTTATGGTGAATTTTCTTTCTGTAATGCCGATTTCCAGTCATAAGACTTTTGATACGTTTTATGCATCCTTAATTCTTTCTTAGGACAAGTTCTATAATAGGTGCTTATGTTCTTTGTGTTGAATTCTTTATTTTCTTACATTGGAAAATACTTTGTTTTTTCCTGAAAGAAACATAGGAAAATGTTTTTTTATTGGAAGTACTTATTGTTTAATTATAAAGTCAAGTGTAATTGTTTGTTTTTGTTTTACCTGCCTAAGCTTTCTTAATTGGTATTTTTAGTTATTATTTTGCTTGTTATGTTATAGGTTCTTGATATGAAGAAAGGACAAGCAGAATCTGTAATCAGAGAAATAATACGTGGGCGTCGCAGATGCCTATTACAGTACTCCCCAGTAGTCCAAATCCATATACAATTGTTGTCTCTAATACAGAAAGATATGGGGAAGAAGTATAATCAATGCCCCTAACTGCTGAATTTCATCTTCTTTCTTAAAATCAATTTAAGAGTTTATGTTTTCTTGGCTGTTCAGATTTACAGCCTTCAGTGGAAGGGACAACAACAACGCTTCATGGTTCTGTGCCCTTGGTCAATGTGTGTCTGAATCCCAATGTGCACTCAAAGAAGTTCCTTCTGACATTTATGACAGTGGTGTGGATGCGTATAATACGCTAGACAGTTCTATGAAGCTTAAACTTTTAAACATTTTATGTGATGAAGCCCTTTGCACTATGTAAGTAACAAGGATGATAATCAAGTCCAGATATTTAGAAATTAATTTTTTTTTAAATTAATAAACATCTCTTTTACAAATTATGACTCATTTCTTCTGCGAAATTTCAGAACATTGAGGAATTGGATTGACAAGCAAAATTCCAAGTTTATTGATGATGAGAAGGAAGTAAAAGAAAAGATTCTTGCTTTAAGGGATAAGGTAATGGATATTATATTTACATTTCTTTTTTGGTTCTGATCTTACGCATCGTAATGCAAAACTGGCTTTTCTACATACTACAGGAAAAACAATCAAGGCAGAAAATGCAAGATGAGGGTGCCAAAGCTATTACTGAAAAAGGTGGTGCTCTGTCAATTTCTGAGCAAAAGACTCTTACTACAGAAATAAAAAAAGAAGCAGCTCAAGTTCATGAAGATTTGCTTCAGGCAGTGGCCAAGTTACCAAGGAGTATGTTCTCAATTTCTTATTCCTCTAGTTCAAGCAATCGTGTTAAACATGTGCATAAACTCTTTATTTTCTAATTAACTATGTAATCCTCTTCTCCCACCTGACAGACTCAAGTTCCAAAGTAGATGGGGATTAGTTATTGTGGATAATGGAGTGGACAAGTAGAATCACTTTTCTGTTGCTTTTGGATATCTATTAATCACTAGGACTATTCTAAGTGCCATTGCTGAAAAGCTAATGAGTCTTAAAGGATTCAGAAACAGATAGATAAATAGTATTTTAACTTCTAATTATGTGCTAGAAGTTGATGTTATAAACTAATAGAAATGCCATTTTCATCTTTAACTTTTGCAAAATTAAATTGGTCAGTACTTGACAGTTGACACTAATAGAGTTAAAAGATAAATGTTCTATGTTTCTGGGCTCAAGCTGAAGTTACTTGACCTTTGGTTTATGTGCAGTTTATTAGTATCTAGATAATGGAGCTTGTGTGTTGGTAATTAAAAGTGAACTTGTGCTTTTTCCAATCCATGTGCCAAATGGATTATTCCACTTCCAATCGCTTGCTTCAACATTTGTGCCTTGTGCAGAAAGCTATTTCTCAATCCTTGTTTTGTTACACGTATTCTTGCATTGGCTTTCCTTTGAAATTGTTGCAGAGAGACAAAGGTCTGATGCTGTTAGAACATCACCTATTATATTGGATGTAAGTGGTCATGTTTTCTGGAAGCTGAGAGGGTATACCAGTGAAAACCATGTATTGCTTCAAGGTTAGGGTTTAATGCATTACTCTAATGTGTTTTCAACCTGTGAATTTGGAAGTTTCTAAGTCTTCATGTTTGGCAAACAGATATTGGGACCTCAGATCCAGTTGCACCTGATGAAAATGGTCGTCTATGATGTTGAACAGAAACCAGATTTAGAGAAATACATTTCTTCTATAAGGTAACTACACTTAGCGTTTTGTCGTTTACCAATTCCTTGAACATATTGGTTGATAAATAGTCAATAGCTAATTGTAAAATAACATTCCTTGGAGAAATAGATGAATACTCAAATGGAATTTTCTAACTTCTGACCTATTTAGAATCAAATTAGCGAGTATAGTGGTAATATTGCAATTGTTCAAAGAATGATGGTAAATTTGATTGGAAATTATATCCATTTGAATCTTATCTGATAAATAATAGAGGAGAAATCAATTTGGTCTTTGTTTCTGAGTTACGGTGAGTAAAATATATTTGACTCGGTTGGCAGACTGCCTTTGATACTAATGCACATGTAATACTTGCTAGGCTTGTAAAAAATGTTGCTTTTGGATCTTCTATGATTTCCAATAAGCATCATAGTGTTATTGTTACTTTTGTAATCGTGATTTATTTTCTCCTTTTCTGCAGGACTAAAGGCTTAGGATACAGAAAGTTTCAGACAGCCTGCCAACTGTTGGTGTTGGAGAAAACTTGGCATGCATAGCCTTCATGATGACCTTTTTTTTATCAGAAAAGTTCAGGTAATGCTATACTTCATTTTATGGGAATTGGCTTCTAGGTCACTAAAGTGAGAATTCTTATAGCCTTAACACCCAAGTATGAGTAGCCTATAGCCTATTAAATCAAACTGTATGGTGAGGATGTAACTTGCAAGGGACCAAATATAATTTGATTACCTTCATTGCTGTGGATTACCTTCATTTCCGATAAGCTTTCCCTTGTATTTACTAGCTATGGTTACCGTGTCTTATCAAAATTTTATAATTGGGATATTTGATTTTCAGCATGAAATCATTAGTCAAAAGTTGGCATAACAAATAGTGTCCTTTTTTTTCTTTTGGAAACAGAAATGTTAGACATGGGATAATAAAGCAACAAAACAATTGAGGCCGTGCTGTTTGTTTGGTTAGTATTGACTGACTACTGAATTTGCATTGGTATTTTTTTTTGAGTTACCAATTCATTGATTATGGAGTGGTAAAGGATTAATGATATTGTTGTAACTTTACAAGGTGTTTTGTGTATGTCAATCTCTGTAACGGTAGTGAATTCATACATTCTTTTCCAAGTTTCTTTTGGAAAACAATTATTGGAAATCCTTTTTTTTTATTTTTTGAGTTAATTGCATCACATGTCCTCAAAGCATGACCCTCATTTTAAATTGGTCCTTAAACATTTAAATGTTTCAATTTCATCCTTAAACAATGACTATCATTCTAAATTAGTCCTCAAACTTTTGAGCATTTCACTTTCATCCCTAAACTATGATCTTCATTCTAAATTGGTCCCTAAATTATTTGAACATTCCAATTTTATCTTAAACTATATGTATATATTATTCACATCCTTGTTAATAAAATTGTTAGGTCAAGTTATATTATTATATGTTTGAAAGAAAATAAAATTTTGGTTAAACTATGGTTGAAATTAATATACATATTTGGATGAATTTGGGGATGAAATTGAAAGATTTAAAAGTTGGGATTAATTTAGAAAGAGGGTCGTAATTTAGGGATGAGATTAGAATGCTTTAAAGTTAAAAGATTAATTTAGAATGAGAGTTATAGTTTGGTGTTGAAATTGGAATATTCAAAAGTTTAAGGATCAAATTAAAATGAGGGTTATAGTGTAGGGATATATATGCAATTAACCTTTATTTTTTTTATAGAGAAAATGTACTGAAAACAGAAATTAATTACTTGAAACATTGCATGATTGAAAAGTCAGGATGTGGTGTGGAATTCAAGACCACAATACTGTATGATTTGAATGGAATCTAAGAAATAAATATTTTAATCTTCAGTATTTTAAATTATGATTATGTAATATATGTCATATTCTCTATAATGATATGATATGATTTATGTTATCAATTAAATACATGTAAAATATTATATTATCAAAATATGCTCGTCGTTAGATAATTGAGTATGTTTTGTTAAAAAAAATTAAGATATTTGAATTTAAGTACTTAAAAAGAAGAAAGAAGGAAAGAACAAGAGACAAAGGTACAACGAAAGCCTTTAACCAAATAGAAGAAAACCTTGAAACATAGTACAAAAATGGTCTCCCTGGCTTAAAGATGTCATCCACGTATAGTAATCATTCTTAATTAGGCAATAAAGGTTTGGGACAGATCTTTTAGTTGATCTTATATAAGGATTTAGTCGATAGAATATCGTCTAAATTTGAATCAAGAGTAGAAAAATTAAACGATAATCGAGAATTTTAGAGAGATTCTTGATTTCTTATTAAAATTTAAGCTAATCATTGATGATAAGGCGTTGACGATAAAGAATCAAGCAGTAAAGATAAATGAAAAGAGAGGGAAGGCTTGGATTACTTCTAATCCCTGAAAATATTGATTACCTTTTAAAAGAGAGGAAATCACCGGATACACATCATGATAAAAAAAATTCAAACATATTATTATCCAAAAAGCATACGTTTATAGTAAGTTATAAGATAATTACATTATAGGAAATAAAAAAATGTTAAAAATTTGATTTTATATCTAAAAACAAATTTGAAATACAAAACTTAAAAATTTTAACTTTGACGTTTAAATTTTAAAAAAAAATTGAAACATATTTTCTCTCTTAGTATTGAATCATGGAAGGTTCTTGATGAATGGTTTAATTTAGAATAGACTAAAACTTGAAGATAATTATTTATACATTCTATTAGATTATTTTACATTCAACGTGATTAATAATCGAATGTGACAACATTATAATAAGTAGATATGCATTTGATATAAAGAATCGTCCTAATCCGACTCTACGTTTCAGATGTCATAACCAGAAGAACTGTAACACTGAATGCATGTGATATCAGCTCCAATGAGGATTATTATTATTTGTCTGATATTGCTATGTTTTTTCCAGTTCCATTGAAGAAGTATAAGTCTAAAGTAAGTAAGCAGTTTGCATGAAACTGTTGGAGACATGATTTTCTGGGGGAATATAGAGATCCGAGCTACCAGGTGGCCTAAAAATGGTAATATTTTGGAGGCGACTGAATGTAAAGGATGAGATTATAAACACTGGCAATGGCAGATAATATATATATGAATTTGCAGCGTTTTTCACCAGAATGTCATGTTTCAGGGTCTTCCCTCTTTGTTGTTTACTGTCTGTCTTTCATCTTTCTCCAATTTCACCATTTAATCTCTTTTTGAATGGACTTGTCCTAATTTCCTTTGAAAATTTTCCCAGTTTGCTTGATGGGACTATGCTGCTTCAATTATTACCCTTGTATCTCATCATTCATAATTTCTTTATCCTTGTATTGCAGATTTCTTATATTAAAATATAGTTATAATGGTACACATTATTATAGATGGTTATGAGTCGGATCCGGTTTTTGAGTTACTTAAATTCGATATGAGTACTCTGATCCGAAATTTAATTCGATTATTAGGGTAAAAACCTGCTCCAGCACTCGCATCGATCCGATACAAATATATATAATTTTTATTTTATTAGGTAAAATAAGGACATAATTGAAAAAAAATATAAAGATATATATTATTACAATTATCCTTAAATATATAAGATGTAATTATACTCTTTTCTCATATCGACTCAAACTTTATTTTTTTGCCATAAACTCAAATTTGACCTCATTTTTCAAAAAATATTTGACCTGACCCAATTTTTTATTTTTATTTTTTAAAAATTCAATCCTATTATACTAGTCAACTTCGAGTCATGTCCATCCTACACATGATTGATTCAAGTCTTGGATTTAACAGTGCCAACCCTTTTCTTCGTACTTAAAGAAATGTTTAGAACAGAAAACGGGTAGGGACGAAGTTAGATTTTTTTGGGAGATTTTTTAAGAGTTAAAATACAAATTTATTTATGTATTAGTTTAACTTTACAATTTGTAGGAGGATTAAATCATAATTTTATCATTTAGTAGTACCAAAATATGATTTCACCAGATATTAACTTATAATTTTATGGTATTTAGAAGGATTTAAGAAGAGTTTACCATATTTAAGAGGACGATGGTGTATGCTTCAGAACACTTGCGATTCCAAATTGAATAGCAAAAGCATGCACGTGAACAGAGAGAGCTGGCAGCCATTGTTTTATGGTATTTGGACAAGAAACAAAACATAAACATCACAATCATCCACGCTAACTACAACAGTCTCCCAAACCCAAAACAAACTGCCATTACTCAGTTTTTGAAACCCCATTCCATCTCTTCTTCACAAAAGGAAAATAAGAGAATCCCACGCCATTTTTGTTATTCTTCTTTACCCCTCTCTAAACTGAGTCAAAACACATGCTACTTTTCCTTTTCGATTTCTGCTTCCTTCTTTGTCTTCTTCTCATCCATGATAAACACCCTGCATTTTGTTTCAATTCTTCTTCTTCTTCTTCTTTTTTTCTTTATTCTCCCTTGTTTTCCCCTCTTCAACCTGCAATTCTCAGATCAAATATCACACTGTTATATATATATGTATAAGATTGTTTGCTTATGCAAAAAGAGATTTCCATTGGATTTGATGAATTGGCTTTGCCTGTTCTGCTCCGCCATTGAAAAGACTGCGTTTGGTGGGAAAAATGCAGGCTTGTTGACACAAATCCAATTGGATCGCATGTACTTTTCAATCTTAAGAGGGACCAATGAAGATATTATTAGTGTTCAACAATGTAAGGCCACACAGTTCAATTATTTTTCCTGCAGTAAAACAGGCTAGTTTTTAGACTTTAGGGACCAAATAATCTTTACAGTCCCCCACAGTGCAACAATGTCACTGTTCAGACAATCAAGCAATCTTGTAAACATGCCACGATAAGGTAAGGGAACATGTAAGGACTAATCAAAGCAGCTTTATGGAACACACGATTTGGATGCTAGGAGAAGCAGAATTTGCATGCATTCCATGAAAATTTGCAAGCCTAGCCGGGGGCAGAAGGGTGTGAATCATTGCACTGGTTTTATGTTCTGTAATAAAGTTAACTCTTTTGAAGAATAGGGTAATGGTTTTTTCTTTTTGTCCTTTGATTTTAGAAGTTACCTCAGAATAGGAAAATTGAAAATGAAAGTAGAAGTCAACAGTCAGAAAAAAAATGGTATGAACATGTTGAAGCAAGCCCTGATTATGTTTCTTGGGGCAGAACATAGTAACATACCTTTTCATCAGCTTTCGATTTCGTGTTAGAATCGGTTGAATCACCGGTTTCCGTCCCACAATGCTTCAATGCTCGGTCTAAGATCGAAGGGGTCGAAGCAGGGCTAAGGCTGTCCGAACTGAGATCAGGGGGTGTGCTTTGAGTTCCTACGTCGAGTCAAGCTCCTGGTTTTCTTTTCTGTAAACTCGAAAATAAGATCGTTGGATGAATGAAAACAAATATTTTTTTTTAGTTTCAGTCAGGGACCTGGAAACTGAAGTATGTCCTGTTGAACTGTCCTGGAAGACGACTTGGTTGCTATATAACATGATGAATGGGGTAAACAAGAGGAGCAGACATGGTGATACGATTCGTAAAGTTCCGAAACGACCTTCCACTCAGTGTCTTTGCAGATAAACATTCCATTGGAACCTCTCCTGAAAGAGGGTTGCAAATGTATTTCTCTGCTTCATTCCACTTGGAGTTCAAAGCAAATCCCTCTGGTGACAAACATTCCCAGGTATTGTACACTGTTCTTGCCTGCAATGCTGCAAAAAAGAAAACCGAACACAAAAATAAAAACACAGTTGAATTTGAACAGCTCAGGAAGGAAACAACTATGATTTCGACAATCACCTTTAAGAGCTGTTGTAAAAGAGTATGTTGAAGGGTCAATCTCATCTGTTAAAGAAAAAACCATGGGAAAACACTTAGAACAAAACCGGACACAAAACCAAGATTTTGCATGGGAGAGGAACAAGAGAGAATTGTACCTTTCAAAGAATATCCAGGAGATGAAGCAGTGCTACAAATGGTTATATTCGATCTAAAAGACCTTGAATCTTCTCTGAAACTTCGGATATATGAAGCCGAATATCGTCTCGAAGCGGTGTTTTCGCGGCTGATTCGAGCCTTGATGCCCCATTCTCTCAAACTGAACTCTGGTTCATCATACCTACAAGAAGATTGTTCCATGGCAAATGCCGTGAGAATGAGAGCAATAATCCTGAAGGGAAAGGCTTCTAAAAGTCTGTAAATTTCAAAAATCTGTGGCTGCCACTTCAGCAGATGCCTCTGCTTGGAATCTTTTTTTTTTACCAGACTTTCAAATGTGAAAAAGCAACCTTTTTCGTTGAACTCTAATTGAAATTTAAAGCCTGCTTCAAAGTGTCTTCTTCTTTTAACCATGCCCCAATATTTGATATTCATAAGCTAAAACAATTTCACTTGATTATATCCTTATTGTGCAAGTAAAAAGTGATAACGCAGAAAGCAGTAGAAAAGAACACAACACAACAAAAAGTGAATATGGTACTCATCATAATCTCATGCCAACCCTACACTCCTATGCCATGATTAATGGGTTACATTATTCGGATTCGAACACAAGTATCAAATATAAATATAGTTTCTAAGTTCGAATAGCATTCCTCTTCATCACTTGAAAAGACGAATTAAAACTATTCGATACACATATATTCATTATCGTGACGATTATAAATTTATTCGACCTTAAATTTAAACCAAAAACTATTACACATGTATGAGATTTAGATTGAATACTGTTTATGTCAAGTACAAAAAGCACAGGACTCGTGCATTTTGCCCCACTAATTTACAATCGGAACACCGATTGCTACAAAGTGGAGCAGGCCGCCGTGTGTTTCCTTTTTGTTGTGTTGCTGAAAATAGGTAGGGCAGATAGACTTAATCTGCTGCAATATGAATTGCCATAACAATTAACATGGAGTTTGATGTTGATTTAGCTCCAACTCTAGTTAAACTGCACTTTTCTGAATTACAGTATGACTTCAACTTTAACCCAAAGGACACCACATTTTGGAACCAATAATTAAACCATATTAATTCCACTATTATATCTTCTTTAACATGCCACTAAGAAATTTCTTCAATGGGCTTTAAAATTAGGTAAACTAAGTCATAATTCTCCATGTCTTTCAAGTTGAATTACTTCTTTGATTCTTATTAATTTTGAAATTCAGACAAATTAGACCCTGATCTCTTTTTATATATTTTTACACCTCTTAGATCTTAGTAAGTTTTAAGGTTAGACCTTGTCCTCTAATTTTAAATTGATGTCTTAATAATTAGACTCTGATATCATATTTTATTAGTATTTATATTCCCCACTAAAGTTGTTTTCTTAGTTCCTTTCATGACAAGAAGCACAAGCAATTATTAAGTGAAGGGCATAAGAACATTTAATGAGATCTGTTACCAAGAAAACAAAGGGTTGTCAACCTCAACAACTCCAACTCCTCATATAATGTAATGCATAGTTGTGGTCCATGGAAGCAAAGGATATGGTGCCTGAAACAACTCTCATCAACAAGAATCACAAGTATGGACAACAGACATGGGCCAATGGATGGGATCCCTCAAATTGAAACACCTGTGAAATTTAGGTTTAAAATACCCTTAAATATTCTTTCCCTCCGTTCATTCTAGAATCATTTCGCACTACGTAACTCGGGTTTTCGTTGATTCATTAAAATAATCCAAGTAGAGATTGATTCTATTTCGAGATGAATTAGAAGAGGGTGAAGGATACGTGAATGATCAAGTCTGCTTCATACGGACAAGACAATAGTAGGATGTGTTGGGTTGTTTTCGAATGGGCTGTTTGAATAGAGGGGAAAATAAGGGGGGCCGAGGAGTATGCATGTGCAATGACATGTGCTTGTCATCCTCATTTAAAAAACAAAAAAGTTAAAATAAAAACTGGAAGGCTTGTCGTGACCATCAGTTTTGTCTGGTTTGTATGGAATGTACGTTCCACTGGAAGGCCCAGCTTCTCTCCCCCAGACCCAGTGTTGTTGGTGTTCTTTTCTCCATTTGCTTCCTTTCATCTTTAAACATGGGCGAGGGTGGATTCACTAACAAGTTTTATCATTGATTAAAGATTAATTCATGATTAAGGCTAAAACCATGATTAATCTCTGGATCGTAGCTAAACTTGAATAGGAGGGGCACTTATTCTGATCCCATAATTAATTAAAAAAATTAAGGGTAAAGTACACAAATAATCCCCCGACTATAGGATACTATTTTGTTGAGTCCTTCCACTATTAAAAGTTATAAAATGGTCCCCCGACTATAGGGAGTTGTTTTGTTGAGTCCCTCTACTGTTAAAAGTTACAAAATGATCATCCGACTATTCATTATGTACCAAACTCATCCTTTTTCGGTCGTCAAAGGTAGATGTTAACATGCTAACTGAGATATGATAGTCGTTTGAGACTATGAGATCAGATTTTATCATATTCTAGTCAGTAGGTTAACGTCCAATTCAGAGAGTCGTTAGTTTTTTAACATAAAATGACGAGTTTGAACATAATTAATAGTTTAATGACTATTTATAACTTTTAATTATCAAGAGACTCAATAAAATAGTATCTTATAATCAAAGGATCATTTATGTACTTTATCTAAAATTTAAATATGATTAAAAAAGTTGTTCCTATAGGTCAATGAGTACACAAGTGACAAAAAATCATTAACTTCAAATTTAATCGTTAATTTTCAAATTTAATTTCACATTCCAGTTTTTATTTTATTTTAAAAAATCATATTCATATAAATTCAATCTCATATTAACATATTTTTATATTCTCTCGACTTCTTTCTCGAATCTCGGTTTAATCTTATAAACTTTTCATGAACGGTTTTCTCCACTTTCAATTTTCAGCGAGAATGAAAATTTCAAATACATCTCTATAAAGAACCCTTAAATTGTTCTTGTTCTTCACATCTCAATTTGTCATCCATTTTCTCTCTTTCTTATGTTATTTTATCATAATTTATTTTTATTTTTTATTTATAATTTTTGATTTGATTTTTACACTCTAAAAAGGAAAGAATTCATCTATTCAAGAAATTACAATTTATGAGATTGACTACGCAACAAGTTAATATCGACATTTGAAATATTTCAAGTTTATCAAAGTTGTGGATTGTTATCCAAATATTTCAATTGTTTGTCGATTCCTCTTAATTATACCAATGACAATTGCATCTCTTAAAATAACTTTTCCGAAATTAAAATTATTAAAACTTAACTGAGATTATCAATGTCACAAGAAATATTGAATAGTCTAACTATTTTATGTATTAAGAAAAATATGTTAGACCATATTAATTTAGATACTATTATTACTGATTTTGCATGTAGAAATGCTCGTAGAAATTATTTTGTATGAATAGTTAAGTGTTTAATAAAGTTTCTTTATAATTTTTATTTAAAATTATTGTATTTATTATATAGTTTGTTAACCATATTAAAAATAAAATTTTAAAAAATATTTTTAATTATTCTTAAAATTTATTTATTTTTCAATAAATATTATTAGAAACCTAATTTTTAGATTCGCCCGTATGTTACTAAAATCTTATATTTTAATAAAATATTTTTTGTTCGAACTTTTCTAGATCTCAAGTGGGGTTCAAGTTTGGATGGATAGCTTGACCATTAGATAATTGGTTCGATATATCGATGGAACTATATTTTTTAAAACCAAATTAATCAAAAAAAAAGTAATCATTAACCAAATTGATTTTTTAAAATCAACCAAACAAAGTTCGGTTAATTTGGTTAATTGAACTTTTTTATAGTTTTTTTAGTTAGATTAATTTGAGTTTAATAGAGGTATTTATTATTTGAGTTAAAATTTAATTGTGTTTTGACAATTTAATGAGTATAGTGTGATTAAATAGTTGGATCTTAATTCTGAATTGATTTGAACTTAAAATATGTTAACTAATTTCGAACCTAATTAATTGTTAACTGAATATTAAAAAATTTAATTGTTCTCTAACTAAACTTATTTCATTGACTGTTTAACTAAACTAATTTAATTAAAATCCAGAAGTGAATATCCTTGTATCCATGTCATATCATATGATGAATCTCATATAGTATACATGGGCTTAGACACGTTGTTGGTTGGACGGGCCATGGTCTACAATTTTAATGATTTAAAATATATTTTATGTTATTAATATTTTTAAAATTGTTAAAATTAAATTTTTATTTATTTTAAGAATAATTTTAAACAAATTTTAGGATTTATCACTTTTTAAATTAATAAATTAAAATTTGAACTCTATTTTTTTAATTAATGAAATTAAATTCTATTGAATACCTCGTGAAAAACTTATGGATTTTAAATATGCTGTGTTTAGTTTTCGAGATGAGAATGCTAAATTGAATATTATTGTGTGTGTCAATGATCTAATTATATCCGGTAGCGATGAAATTGTATATTTAATGGTTCTGGCTAAAAATTCCTCATGAAGCAACACACTTTATAAATTTTAATTTAATTTATTTCATACATATTTTTAATTTTTAATTTAATTATATATATTTTCAAAAAGAAATTAAATGAAAAAAAAAGTAAATATAAAATTAAATTAAAGTTTGACCAAAATGTGTGTGTAAATTCGGCAATTATTTCAGGAGTACAAAAAGAACTAAATGGAATAGAAAAGGAAACTCAGTGAGGCGTCAATCATGAAATAGTGTTTGCGAAACAACAGGAGAGGTTAAGCCAATCCCAGCATCTGATCAGAGCGATCCCAAAGCCATACAGACGAAGAGGGAAATAAAGAAGAAGAAAAATGAGAAATCCAATCTCAGTCTCAGATCAAACAGCAACAAGAAACAATAACAGAAGCAGGACTACTCCTTGTTGCAGCAAGGTAGGTCTGAAAAGGGGGCCATGGACGCCCGAAGAAGACGACTTATTGTCCACTTACATCAAGAAAGAAGGAGAAGGCCGATGGCGGACTCTGCCGAAGCGGGCCGGACTCCTCCGTTGCGGCAAAAGCTGTCGCCTCCGCTGGATGAACTACCTCCGACCCTCCGTCAAGCGAGGCCAGATCACCCCCGACGAAGAGGATCTCATTCTTCGCCTTCACCGTCTTCTCGGCAATCGGTACATTTTCCTGCTCTGCACATTTACTTTTTGTTTATTCTTAATTTCGCTTCTAGGGTTTCTTTCAGGATTGTCAAATCTATTTTCGTGATCCTTTGGGTATTAGGCAGAGCCAGTGCCCAGTTTCCAAGTATCATCATAGGGGTTCTAGGTTTAGGGTTTCAATATTTCGAGCTTTCAACTCGATTTTGTTCGAATCCAAATCATATCTTCGTCAATCTCTTTCCAAAGGGTTTCCATTTCTTTCTGTATTAACTACATAAAATGAATATATATATATATACCAATTTCTTGATTAATCAATTTACTGGGCAGATGGTCGCTCATAGCTGGAAGAATACCAGGGCGTACAGACAATGAGATTAAGAACTACTGGAACACTCACCTGAGTAAAAAGTTGATCAGCCAAGGCATAGATCCAAGAACCCACAAGCCTTTAAACCCTAACCACTCACCAAGCCATCTCAAAGCTTCTTCATCCTCCAAAAATCGTGGATCCGCTACTGGTACAATCCCTAACCCGAATATTAACCATGCAGCTTCTTCCAGCGGCGGTCAAATCATGGCTGCTGGCAAAGAAAATGAGTATTTCCAGAATCATAATCAAACTGATGACGCACAGATAGTCCATGGATTCACCGGTCTGCTTAATGATGAAGGTTTTGGATTAGAAATGAGAAGCAGCAACCAAAACCAAGGGATTATAAGAAGCAGTGAGGAAGATGATGAGGATATAAACTGCTGCAACGATGATGTCTTCTCTTCCTTTCTGAACTCATTGATAAACGAAGATGCTTTCGCCAACCAGAATCCCATGCTGCAGCTGACCAATGGAGTTGCACAAGCCGATCATGCATTGGTTTCAATCACAGCATCAAGTTTTGGCCTCGACCAAGACTGTAATTTCAACCAAAATGACCCCGAGAGGGTTAATGATCGTCATCTCAACTAGCTCTTCCGAACCCTCCGCTTGCCTTGAACTATGAACTATGAAATCAATACAGATGCAGAAGTTAAATACAATGTTATAGGGCTTGGTTATTATTTTATGTATGTTAATAGTCTGTTATTGTTCCACGTAATTCCTCATCATATGTTTGTGTTTTCCATATATATATCATTGTAAACAAAGATATAAGTGGGAACGATGCACTGATTTGAACTTGTTGTGTCGACATTGTGTGTGATGTGTTTTTCATTTAGACGATCAATATATTTAGAGCTTATTTGATGAATCTTCCTTTGATTTTTCAAATTTTGCTTCCATCAATTATCTATAACCGTCGTGATTCATACCTTACTAATGGCAAAGGATAACTCAATTTTAAGGCAGAGATTTAAATTACGATTGTGGTCGTATTTTAGGTTACGTTACGTTTATCATGTTTACGGATATAGTGGACGCTATTGTATTGATGGCAGGTATTTAAATCTATGTTCTAAGGATCAATTTTTCATTACACCACTAAAAGTACTTTTTAATACAAAAATATCTTTTTTCCTAAATTTTTTTTATTAACATTATTCTTATTTCTTTTAATACTAAAAGTACTTTTTAGCTCCAAAAATTAATCTGAAAAGTATTGAAGAACTGAGTCTAATCTTTACTATATTTTGCGTTACATTTGTCAATAACTAACTCAATTCTTATTTACAAACACTTTTAGAACAGCTATACTGGAACAACTAGTTATTCTCATGAAAGTACCAACGAAGCTAAAGAATCCTTAGTTCTTCAATCTCATGCAGAAAATTATTAACTGAGAAGCAAATAAAACATATAGAATGCATAAATATTGCTATGCTTCTCACTATGCATAACGTACCATTTTTATGAAGCACCTAAGGTTTTCATGTTTTTCTTTGAGCCTATGTAGCTTCAATAAGAACATAAACAAAAGTAAATAATACTACTTATTACCAAGAGTTGCAGCTCATTAGTAATGTCTTGGATGAGTTATTGTGCAAGGTTCTGATGAATATTTCACAATTGGAACGAGCAAAATAATCATATATATATTAGTCTTCAACACATGCATAATGATTACACATACTTGATGAGGAGAAAATAATACGAAGTTTGCTATGTATCTAAAATATAAATGAGGAAAATACTTCTTATTATTTTGAAACAGTGTGCTAGAAAGTTCTTGAAACTAACCCTTTATGTTAGATATGCTGGAAGTGAATGAAAAAACTAGTAAGTTTTCTCAAGGGCCTCTTACTGACTTACATATTATTCAAAGGAGAATGTTTTTAACTCGAATTAATAAGATCGTGCAGGTTTATTGAGGAAAGTACAAATTTCAGGCACGTGTTTCAGAGATTGAAGATTAAAAAAAAAACTCATTTGCAATTGTCTTTGTCACCAGATGCATGGGTCCCTCATCATTCAAAGTTTTATGGTTTTGGATAGACTGTTAAAGGGTGCGGTGGTCTCTCACTGTGACTGTTCATTTGATTAGATAGATAGCTGTGTTGTGGTCAAAGATGAGAGAGGAGGGACAAAGATGTTTCGTTGTCATGGAATTAAAAAATTTAATATTATTGTTTGTCCTATATATTTAAATCATTATGTTATTAAATTATTGAGTAATTTTGGTGATTATAATAAGTGTTATATTTTTTTCGAGATTTTAAGTTTTAATAATTATATATGTTAAATATATACATTATTAATATATTTTAAAAAATTATGAATAAATATTATCTTATAATCATTTTAAATTATTAAAAAAATAATATATAAATATATATATTATAGTATTTTATCTGGCTAGACAAGACGGTTAATGAATGAGGTCTATATGATTTGAAACAAACTAATGGTAGAAATATTGTGGAATAATAGGTGTACTTAATGAACAAAGAGTGGACCAAGCAAAATGTCCCATCCTGTAAGCCAGGTGTAGCAAAGGGCAAGCATTTTCCAATTTAATCTTTGGGGAATTTTTTTAATACATTATTTAAACTATCAATAACCTATAAAGTATAAAATATTATAAGGTAATATATATTTAGAATTTTTTTAATATTGGTAAAGAACACACACTCTACAAATATATTCCTTAAACTTTAAATTTTTTATATAAGTCTCCAAACTATGACTCTCCTTCTAAACTAGTCTCTAAATTTTAGCATATTATATAACAGTCCTCAAACTATAAATATCATTTCATTTTTATCTTTCTGTTAATATGTCATTAACTCAACTTATTTAAAAAATTAATTAAAATTTAAAGGTATTGAGAATTGAATACGTGACATAAAAAAATCTCAAATCTTCAAAAGTAGATTAAATATTTTTAGGTCACGGAATCAATTCTTAGAAACTTCAAAAAAGATTTATTTTTTTAATCAACAGAATTAACGATATGTTGATAAAATGATCAAAATAGAACAATACTAATAGTTTAAGGATTGTATAGAATACTTTAAAATTTAAGGATTAATTTAGAATTAGTATCATGGTTTGAAGAGTAATATAAAATATTTTATATTTTAAAGACCAAATTAAAATGAGTATCATAATTCGAAGATTAACTCTTAATAATATTGAGAAATGAAGTTGAGTTGGGCATGTAACTAGGCTTCAACTTTGAAGAGCTCAACTCACAGGTGGCCTTTCGCTTCGTTCTCTATTTTCTTCACAACAAGCAGCCAAGTCCAAAGTGCTTTCTAATTGGGTTCATTTTATTTGTAAAAAATAAAAGTTTATTTATATTACTTTAAATCTCTTCGTTAAGAGTGATTATTATTGTTATTATTATATTTTCTATTTCCAAATATTTTTTTAAGTTTAAAACTATTATATAAGAATAAAAAATAAATTTAAATTTTAATATGTTATCATCCTATCTTTGAATATTAATTAAATACATTTATATAGTTATAATTTTTTACATATTTATACGCGAACATGATTAAGTATGAGTTTTTAAGAATTTTTTGAACCCCAGATCAATTTTTTTAAGAATCATATCAGGTCGGGTATAATCAAAATTAGAATGAAAAATACTAGTACAATTATCCGTTATATATTTAAAAATAATTGTAATAATATATCTTTCTTTATATTTTTTTAACTAGATCTCTACTTCACTAATAAAAATAGTAATTATATATATACTTGTGTGGAGTCACATAAAATGTAAATTTCTACTTCAAAAATTGAATTGAAATTCAGGCACTAAGTTGGATCAAGTGATGAATAAAAAATATAATACTCGAACTAAATTTGAGTGGTAAAAGATTACTTGAACCATACTCATCCCTACATATGATTAGTATATAATTGAACTTATTCTTTCATCTGGGTTACTTCCACACTAACTAAGCTGAACCCGAGATAGAATTGGTAAACATTCAAATGAAGTATTGAATGTTTGTATCTATATACTTATTACACATAGAATACGTAAGTATGGCACATATCGGTCCCTTCCACGTAACACTATTAAATATAAATATAGACAAGGGTAAAGTGGGAACTTTTGTTTTAAAACCATAAATAAATTATAAATTGTTGTGAGAGTTAAAATATGTATTATTGAATTAATTTACAAATTTATGATTTTTTTAAGGATCACATTACAAAGTTTGAGCAATGTAAGGGTTAACAAGAAAATAAATTGTTTGTATTATTTAGCCTGGAGTAGTGAGATCCGGATCATCTACCAGTCTTGGTTTCCACATAAACTCTCTTAAGATTGGTAGCTGATTGACTTGCCCGTTCCCAACTTATTACTTCTCCCAATTCAACCTTCATTCCTTCATTAATTTCGGCTAAGAATCAACCACCTAAATAACGCTGAACCCTTCTCTCTTTACCCCTAAATTACTACCTAATACATAAAAACAAATCATGTGAAAATCGAAATTTTGGAACTATGATATGATGTAGCATTGGATGAGAATTAAGATCCATTTTTCGTTACGGTTGAAAAGTTTTTTTTAATAGTTTGAATGATTATAAGATAATATTTATTTAAAATCTTTTTTATTATTTACAATGCACACACATCTTGTATATACAACTGTTCGAATATATGACCTCTAAAAAGAATAATAACCTCTTTAACTATTGAAGCCGCTTGATAAGTTTAATGATTAAGGTCTAATTAAGAAAATATTTTTAAAGCTGAAAGTATTTTTTATATGAGAAATAATAAAGAATAAGAGATATCTAAATAAAAAGAATACATTTTACATAAGTTTTGCAACCCAAACACAAAAATTAAAATATGCTTTTTCACATATTATCACATGTTAAGCCCTGTCTTCACCCAATGCCATCTACGTTATGTTTGATAGTAAATTTGTTTAATAGTTTAAAGTTATTACAATATAGTATATGTGTAGGATTCTTTTTAATCATTTATAAAGCACACACACATCTGTAGGTATATTTACTTAAATCCATAATCTATAGAGAGTATAACACTTCTATTAACCAATGAGGTCACTTAACAAATTCTATTCGATCATAACATTTAACAAAATGTTTTTAGATCTAAAATTATCAAAACACCCTAATTAATTCTTCATATCTAACAATCAATCGTCTTTTAGAATATATGTTTAAAATAGACATCTTAATTTTTCACAATACTTTTTGAGAAACAGAGGCAAATTCTCCAACAAAATGCGGCATCCACATACAAATGCTTTTAACATGATAACTCTACCAAATGCTTTTAACTAAAAGAAATGAAAGGAAAACGAACGAGTAACCTGAAATCTTTGGTGTAACGGAAGAATTCGTCGAAGCCGCGTCCTGCTTCCCAGGGCCGAATACATTGGTATTTAAGCTATTTTTGTAACGGTGAAATGGTGAGATTTTCCAGCAACGTGAACTTAAAAAGAAGCAGGAGAATGTGTTGTTTGAAGAAAGTAGGGTGTTTGACATTGTATGGGGAAGTGAGCGTTGGATTTGGATTGAATGGTAGATTTTGATAACAGCGGACCAACCGAACGTTCTTACCATGAAAACCAGAACTAAAGAATGTTAGACTGACCAAACTTTCTTTTTTAGAATTTTATTCACTTTGGTTACTATATATTCTACATTCATATTCATCAACCAAGAATTCATTTCATTCTCCCCGTCCAGATACTTCACAACTCATCCTTTGGGAGCCCAAACCACCTTCTTCCTTCTAACTCTTGCGGATATGGTGGTTCGGTTGAAGTGAAGTGGGTTACGAATTTGAAACCTAAAGATAATTAACATAAAATAAATTACACATAAATCATACAATTTAACGTGATTCAATCGTGTCTACTTTTATAAATGAAAAAAAATCATTATAAAAAATAAAGAAAACAAAGTTCAAATACATAAAATCCATATATTCTAAAAACTTGGTATACTTAACAAACTCTAATATATTACCAAATTTTTCCCAGCATCAATCACTACAAAACTTGTTTGTCAAATAAAAATTCAATAAATATTATTTCTATCATAATTCTAAAACTCATATATTTATAGATTTGAATAACATTTCATTTTACCATCGATTGACGGATTCTTAATAACTTCTAATTTTACATAAATTAAATATTGTTAAAGCATAATTGAATAAGAATTTATTCTCCTATAACTGAAAATTAAAACGTCACTTGCATATCTCCTATCTTACTACCACAATCTACATTATAAAATTATCTCCAAAGTGAACAACTACACATGATCACATCATCATGAGCCCTGAACTATAACCTATCAATACGAGTTGTTAGGAATTTAAAAGTGAAAAATTGAATCAAAAGTGGGGTTAAAATGAAATATATCACGCACAAAAAAAATGAAATTTATTGTGGTTTAACTCTCTCTGTCTCCATAAATGAAATGAAAAGAACCCATTATTAAAATTAAAATAACAATGAGTTTAAATACATAAAATTTTATGTATCCAAAAACTCGTTATATTTCGCAAATCCGTTGTATTATCAAAACTTTTCTAACATTCTATCATTTCTCAAAATAAGGGTTCAAAAAGATTACATATCTTCAATAATTTACTCTCACATATATCTAAAGATTAAAAACTATTATATATTTATAGAGTCAAATACATAATCACCATAAATCTTATTTCATAATTTTTTTAAATAAATTTAATTATAAAGTGGTCTTCAACATTAGAAATATATAAAAATCAAATTTAATTATTAATTAAAACTTAAGTCGATATATGATAAAGTTTTGAATTCATTTTACTTATCACCTCCTCTTTAGACTTCCGAGTTTGGTGTGCTTCAACTTCTTTTTGATTGTCTGTTGTTGTTTTGAATTGTAGAATTACTCATTTGGGTCTATGGTACGACCTCTGACAAGTGATGGGTGTTTCAAGGGTCCTAACCAATGTAATTGAAGGGACTTTCCTTACTTTTGTACTCTCCATCTCTAAATGATTAAGATTAGAAATTTATAAACGAAAAAAAATATATTGAAATAATATTAACATAAAATAAAATACATATAATTAACGTGATTCAATATCTTATTTTTATAAATAAGAAAAGAAAACAATTGGGCCAAAAAAGAATTTGAATCCATATATAATAATTTATGTTTGATAAAAATAAAAATAAAAAACCTTGGAAATGTGAATGCGAATTTTGAAAGCAATGAAAAATAATAGAGATGGAGGGAGGTAAAGTTAGAGGGTAGGCGAGTACAAGCAAAGCAAGAAGGAAAGGTGAGTATTAAGGGCTTGGTTAGGAAAAGTTAGGTAGTTGGAGTGGACTGCCGAGTGTTGCCATTGTTTGTTTTATGATTGAGTTTCGGCATTCCTTTCGTCAATCTGATTTTGTTTTGCTTGTTCCAATTGGAATGTTGCCATTGTTGGGATTTGTAAATTTTGTTCACAATTCAGAAACAAAGGTGACCAACACCGATCTATTTGCTTAAAATTCTCAGGGTAAAGATGACAAGAAAGATCTTTATATATGATACACTAGACCTTTACTTGCCTTTGCCAGAGGACCACCAAGCTATACATGTAAAAGATAGAACTAGAAAGGGAGAGAATATCCACGGAGATAAGTCGAATCCACGCCCGACTCTCGCACCAGTGCCACTCGTCCAGTCCGAGCCACCTTCAACACATTAAACGAAATCACTAAATGAATAAAGGTTGAAGAACCATATAGCCGGTGGAGAATACTGAAATTCCCATGGGACATTGACCATCAAAACAAATAAATACTGAAACTTCACACCAAATCAAGGTTATCTAAACCTCTTCTCTAGCTGCACATACTCGATATATGCTAGTTATAAAATTTGTTAAGAAACTTAAGCCACAAACCTCACAGATTCCATAGGGCTCTAATAATCCCTGAAGAGCAACCATCTTGTTTAAATCACCTGTCAGCTGCAGAGAGAACCAGACTACCTTAGATAATGACGATGCTGACACGATGATGATAGAAACTATAATCAAAAGCCAAACGATCATCCAAGAATAGATTCTGAAGATTTTATATAGCAGGAGAAGGCGGTAATTCATCGAATTAAGGTAGAAAAAGGTGTGACCTCAATAGTAATTGTGTGATCAGACACATCAACAGCTTTAGCTCGGAATATGCTAGCGATGTCAAGGACTTCCCGGCGAGCAGCAGGGTTCACAGCAACTTTTATCAACATTAGCTCCCGCTCCGCAAATGGTAAGTGTGTCATATCCTGCACCTGCAGCAGATTATTGAAGTAAGCCATTTGCCAATTCAGATTATGAAGTTGGAATTCGGGAAATCCAGTAGCGCAATGTAGTATATGTCCGTAATTATTCTATGAATCATCTTATCATATGTCTCTCACCTCGTAAAGATCCACTAACTTCCGGAGTTGCTGAACCAATTTTCCTATGGTCTCATCAGTTCCCGGAACAACAGTTGTAATGCGAGAAAGACCATCTTTTTCAGCAGGTCCCACAGCTAGACTCTGCGATAAGTGTTGCCTGAGCTACCCGGAAAAAGAACAGAAGGCATATAGAAAATGCAGCATGAAGCAAAACCAAGCTGACCTGAATATTATTTCCTCTTCGGGAAATAGCCCCAGTAATTACATTTAGAACACCAGGAGTGTCGTTTGCGATCATAGACAAAGTGTGTGACCGAATCCCAGTTGACTGAAACATAGAATGAAACACATAAAGGACACACATGAGAAACGAATGTACAAGCATTGCAATGCAACAGCAAGTGAATGCTACATAGTTCAAGAAAACAATTTACTATCAACTAATGATCAACGAATTACCGTAATTTGCAACTAATGGACTGAACATATATATGACTCAACCGATAAACAATGACAAAGCTAAACATGACATTATACAAATAAAGAAAAACCCCACAAACTGCTTCACATCACTCGGAACAAATGACTGACTAAGAGAAATAGATTTTTGGTATAATATAAAGAGCCACTGGAGGAAAAAAATCTTACATCTTCGTCATAGAGAACTCCCCAATGAGCATCAAGAATTTGATTTACTGGGAAGCTGTTCGAAGGTTCCACGGGATATACATCGCCCTTCATGCAACAAATAAAAACTTGATGCATGGTGAAAGTACACAAAAGTAAAAAAAAAAGTGCGTAGAACATTCATAATGCAGATTCAGCAAAAGACATTGATCATGCTATTCAAATCTACTTGCAACGTCGAATTATCCTCAGACGAGAGACTTTTGATTACATAAAAATACTCAGTAAACCAACATCTTGTAAATGTCGCTTTACAATTTCCCAACTTCCTTTGTAGTTTTGTACTGTTCAATGTGCAAGAAAACATAATCATAATCCAACTCCAAGCTGTGTTCATTCTTTGGTAAACTCTAATAGGTTCATAATCTAATAGGTTTCATATGTATGATGCATATAAAATGGAAAGGAGAGGATAAATAAGATGCAAATCCCATAGGGTAAGGTAACACCAAACTTAGATAAGCATGATTGCGAGGGGTGAGCAAAATCCAACTTGATTCAGAAAAATACTTAAAATTTCAAATTAAATATTTTGAGTTATTTGAGGTCTTAAAAAGACAAAACAAAACAGAAAGAGGCATGCAAAGCGTTCTGAGTAGAAGATAAAAGTGCTTACCTTTGAGTATGTATTGACATCACCACCAACTAGCAGTTTTGCATCCCTTATAACTCCACCATTAGTTGATCTACCTTCAAGATCTGGATAAGAAGCAGCAGAAAATCCCCAAAAAGGAGCAGTCTCCCCCATCTTCTCACGCCTCAGAGCAATCTATCATGATTGACATGTTCAAATCTTAGTGAACATAACGATTCAGTAGCTTGATAGACCTCAATGTCCATCTTTGTACATCAGTATAATTCAATGAAACTTTCACATTTGCATTAAGTTCACAAAATAGACACTAGAGTATATGTGTTAAGCATCCGACTTAAATCAATTGGCAAAAGTGGAGAGACTCGAGACACTGAAGACTTTATAGTAGTTGATATCACGATGGGCCTTCCAATTATTAGATACAAGTTTGTGGGAATTTCATACCTTCCCAGTCCTTGCAAGTTCTTTTATCCCAAACTTGCTCATATTTCTTTGAACAGCTTCCATCTTCCCTGGGTCTCCAGTGACCTGAGATGTGCATATGCAATAAAATATACTAGATGAACAAAAAAATGCTTCAAAATATAAAGACCATTTTTTCTTGTGATTCCATAATAAGATGTCAGGAATCCTATTTCAGCATTACCATATAACATGCTATAATTTGCACCAAAAGGACACTCAAATTCGATATTCGACAAATGTTTAGGTTTCAGTAAAGTCATATCACCTTAACTCTCGTCTAGATATTTAAAGAGTAAATATGTCTAATTGCCAAAATCATGAAATAATAGAAGATAAAAAATCACCTGCATAGTCAAGAAGTGTTCTGAAGTATCCACAATGCTTGCTCGGAAGATGTCGGCGAGCCACATTATCTAAAAAGGATAGTGCAAATTAAAGACAGAATGCCCAGATGTAGAAAAAGGAAATAGAATTTCAAATCAAAAGTTCCTATTTAGTAATAACCCTTTAAGAGAACAGTTTCCATCTATTGAGCAGATAATTTTAGATGTTCAAATGATTAGAAGCTCCGAACAGGGAAATACTTGCGTAACACGATACCTCAGCATGAGTGGTTGGATTGTTGTTGAGTTTTATAAGCATTAATTCACGTTCTACATGCGGTTCCATTGATATATCGTCTACCTGTTAAACAAGGTAATAAATCAATTCTATGAGCCAACTAAAATAAATTCTATGTTTGATGCTTTAACACCACCCAAGCAAAGGAAAGAAAATTAGAGAAATTCTAATAATCTATGTTAACAAAACTTAGAGATGTGCATGTGACCTAGGCTCGACGGGTTCCGACCTGACCCTATAAGATAAAGTTTTTGTCTCTAAAAATCGAGTTTGGGATAGGACGGGTCTACTTTAGGGTAGAGATAATCGAGTTTGAGTCAGAGTCAAATTTAAGATAAAAAAATATAGAACTTGACCCGACTTGGAATATTTTACTATAAAATACACTTTTTAATTTCAATTATTCATTTTTTCCTTCTTCACTCTCTCTCATCCTTCATATTCTATCCCTCTACTCTAAGTTATTGAAACCCTAGAATCTTCATCGACAACCACACCAACCACCACAAACCGTTACATTTGTCGTTGTCGTCGGTTATCGTTGAATTCCAAAAAAATCCTAACAACCTCTTTCAAGTCTCCTAATTTGAGATTTGATGTCTGTTTCAGCAAAAAAATACTATGATGTCCACGAATCTAGTCCAATATTATTTTTCTCTTTTGTTTATGATCTCTTTCCTCCACCGTGTTGGGATCATCAAAAACAACCCTCGATTGCCGCTAACCATCGTGCCAAAAAGAAGAGTATTTTCTCTCTTTGTTCTCTATTTTTTGGATTTTCTTTTCTTTTCTTTTTTAACTTATTTTGTTTGCAAGTTTTTTCTTTAGTGAATTTAGGATTTTGAATTGTTGATGTCAAGTAAGGTAGGGTTGGGGTAGATTTTCATCATCAGATTTCGAATTGGATGGAACTCTTCTAAAATTGAGTCTAGTCAAGTATCAACTAGAAGTATAAAATTTTCGTGTCGGGTCGAAAAGACCAAAACCTGACCTTATCCACCTATGCCCATCCCTAACAGAACTTGAATGGAAAACAATTATGAAATTGAACCATTTCCACACCTTACCAACAAATAATAGTAATAATAATAACCTATCTTTTCCTTTCCTTTCCTTAATGTCACTTTTAACTACAAATATTATGAGTGTTCAAACGGTCGGTTCGTTAATAATTGAACCAAACAATTCAAAATTGAATTAATTGAACTCCTAAATTTTTTAACCATTAATTGAATCATTTTTTTCCAAATATCATTAATCAAATTAAACTAAGTTAGATTAATTCAGTCAATTTTCGAAAAATATTTTTTTTAGTTTTGATTCAAAATAGCAATAAATTGAAAATGAGTTCTTTTTGTTAGATATTTTTTATTTATAGTCTTTGTTTTCTTCCTTTTGGGTTGGGATTAAAATAGAAATATCGAGTTTTAAACATCATGAGTCATTGAGCTCAAAATTAAAATATATAATTATATATTAAAATTTTGAATAATTAGTTTATTTCGAACCAAATTAACCGATAACTAAAATTTGAAATTTATTTTAACAATTTCCCAAGCCAATATTTTAATAACTTAACCGATTAACCAAACTAAATTTCAGTTTGATCCGTTAATTCGGTTTTAACTAAACAATGAACACAAACGTGCTAAAAAAAAAGTTAAATACTTTAGTTCCCTTTTAAGATTCCTCTCTTTTCCATCCCTTAAAAACATGCAACACAAACATACTGAAAAAGCTATATCATGGTTGAAAAAAGGAGTAAAAAAAGTTGAAATTTATGACCTTTATGACATTAACAAGCTTGTGAAGTTGCTCAACGACTTGTCGGAGAATCTTGTCAGTACCGGAGACAACGATGGTAAACAGAGCCTTGTCCTTGTTGAGACCAACAGCAAGAGACTCAATGTTGTAACCCCTTCGGGCAAACACCCCCGCTATCCTGTTTATCATTCCACTCTCGTCCCCGACGACCACCGAAATCGTATGGCGTTTCACCCTGAAAAGATTTCAAACATGGATAATAATAACATACCTCGAGCTCTAATTGGAAAATAAAATGTAAAAGAAAACCCAATTCAAGAACAATGTCATTTTTTTTTCAAACACTTTGTGAACACTAACTTGGAACTGGTGGTCCGGGAGAAAGTCTCAGTGAGAGTCGGAGCTGTATTGGGTTTATCGGTAGTGGAAAAGGGCACATGCAAGGCCTTTGAGCTCGAGAATCGGAAAGCTAATTCCTTAGCTTTGGACCCAATATTGGTATTGATAATGCTGCTTTGTCTCGAAGTGAAATGAAGAAAATCGGTGGTCTTAGATAAAAATGGGTTCTTCATCGGAATGGTGGCTGAGAGTGAAGCCGCCGCCATGTCTGGGTTTTTTTTCTTTCTTTTCTGGTCGATTGTTAGAACTTAGAAGTGGAGACTGAAGAGTAAAAACTATTTGAAAACTTAAAGACGCTAGACGAGAAAACAGATTCCCTTTTGCAACGAGTTACATGTGATGCTACTATATTTTAATAATGTATAAAAAAATAGTTACGAGGTTGCCAAACAAAATTAAGACAGCTCATTTGATGTCAGGTTCTTCAGAACACGAGGTTTAGTTTAACCGCTTATTTCCATAAAAATAATCTTCCTTCCTCTGCTACATACACGTATACGGCTTAGGTTTTTTTTTTCTTTTCGAAATGACATTAGAAAACTAATATAAGGGTTGTTTGGTTCACGGATTTTTGCATTCCTAGGATGAATATTTTTTCCGAGTTAAAATATCCACGTTTAGATGGGTCACGTTCCCGTAAAAGTTTAATACCAACAATAATTTTTTTTGTTCTGTTTTGTTGGGAATATTAATCCCACGTCTCCTTTATGTATTTGTTTATTCTCATCCTCTGTTGGCGAAAAGACTTTGAGCTCTTTGAAGCCTAATGCAAAAACAAAAATGTCGAACTCAAATGCCCCAGAAGACGTTGAGCTCCTGAAATCCGATATAGCATCATTTGCTTCCTCTCTTGGCTTCACCGCCAATTCTTCCCTTCCTTATTTAGGCTTCTACGATGTCGATTTTCGAAAAGATGGTCCCCTTAAACCTCCAACGCCTCCAAAAAAACCCAAACGCCAAAAACTAGAGTTCTCAACTTAGAAGAAATCTAACAATACCCAAACTCCAAAAACTGATAAAAACACGAAAAACAACCAAAGACCAAAGCCCAATCCTCCAGTTTTGTCTCTTGAAGACGGAAACCAGAGTAATAGGTTCTCTATAGAGCCTGATAAGTTCAAGAATTTGCCAGCTTTGCCTTTGGTGAAAGCAAGTGCTTTGAGTGTGTGGTACGAGGATGAATCAGAGTTGGAAAAGGAAGTGTTTGGAGAGGAGGGGAAGTGGGAAAAGGCTATAGATGTTAGAAACGTGGAGGAACTGAAGAGATTAACCGAGAAGAAGAGGGAACTTGGGGGAAGATTGATGTATCAGTACGCTAAAGTTTATGAATCATCGAAAGGAATGTATGGGATATGAAGATGGTTTTGATTAGTCAAGGACGACTGCTGATAAAGTTTATGCCTTTTCCTGTTGCTAATTTGAAGTCGCTTTATGGGCTTTTAGGTATGATTTTCCATGTTTTTGATGTTGTTAAGTTTTAAGGATTTGGGAAAGTTATGATTGTTGAGCTTATGGTTTTAATACATTTCATCTATAGTTGCGGTGTGTTTGACCCATTGGCCATTACTGAATTTATGCTCATTTGATAATCTTTTAGTTGCGTTCACTTGTAATATAGGGGAGCAGTTATGCTTTTGCTTGCTGTTAATTTTTTTAAAAAAATAGTATGCTTGAATTTGATCTGTGGCAATGGGTTAGTTTTACATGTTGAATGTTGTTCGTTCGAAAATCTTTTCATGAGTTTATTTGAATAATGTAATGTCAAAATGTGTTGATCTACTCAAATATTATTATATGCATTTTATTAAATTGTCCCTGGATATTTTTCTCCTAGTTGCTAAACTGCTATTGTTCAAATTGCAGGGTTAGTAACATCAAAAGTAGGAAAGTGGTATGCATTTACTGGATTCGAAGCTTTAAAAGAAATTTTTATTTCAAAGTGACTCTTGCTCTCCCTACCTTTCACTGGTTTTCTTTTTAAAGTATTTCTTTCTTATTAAGTTTCTTTTCAATCTCATTCATTCATGTAGTTCATGTGCTACATTAGGATAGAGCGAAAGTTATCGGTAAATAGTGGCTAAGGTAGGAGGTATAAGAACATTATGTGCCCGAGATTGGTAACCTCCCATCTATAGTAGCTGTCCTATAGTGGGCGTTAAAAATTATGACATTACAGACACGAATCCCTGTTATGCACTTCTAGAAGATATCTAGATTTAGTTGGTCCGGAGTTTTCCCAAAATCTAAGGTGGGAAGTGTATATTGACATAGTTTGATGGTTTTTGTCAATTGTTGCACATTTCAATTTTTACAGGTTATTGTCTGATCAAAAGCTGAAAAAACTCTTACAACGTCCTGTGAACGAGCTTCTAGAGACAAAAGATGGCTATTCCCTTCTTTTCTGGTATTGGGAGGACTGCTTGAAGCAGAGGTATGTTTGACATTTTCCCCCTTGTGGCAGTTGTGTGGCATTTTTAAGCTTCCTAAGTTGGTCACTTTGTTAAATTTTAATGAGGATGGTCCTTGGAGCCCAGAATAAATTAGTTTAGGCATTTGTGTGATTTATTATTCAAAATGATCCAAACCAAACCATCTAAAGTATAGTTCAAAACTAAACTAATTTAATTTTCAAACTCAAAAAGTTGAACCAATGACTATAACAAACCTGAATAAATCTATTGTCGTACTAAAATGATTTGAAAAAAATAATCCAAAGGTAGTACAACTTGAGTTTTCTTCAAGTTTTTCAGGTATGAGCGTTTTGTCAATGAAGTTGAGGAGGCATCGAGAGATATGTTACTGCCTTTGAAAGATAAGGCACTAAAGGTTAGTCTTATCTGCTAAGTGCCAACCTATGCACTACTTGTGAATTGTGATCATTAGCAGATCTCAATTTTTGTGGAAGATTGACTACAAGGAATCCTTGTATAAATTGTGCAATTATCGAAGCTTTGTGATCTTTTTGTTGAAGGCTTTTGTTGGAATTCCCATTTTACATGGTAGTTTAAGCTTACTTGATGCATCTGAATTTTTTTTTATAGGAATTGAAAATAGATCATAGGTCAATCTAGAGTATCTTGATATGTGTTTTGCAAGGTTAAGGATTTACTTTGGGGGATGGAATCTCATATCCTAAAATGAGTAATTGGAAATGTTTATTGTACTTCAATTCTTGTTTCCGTTAGGTTATATTACAAATGTCTCAACTTTATATTTTGCAGACCATGTATGCACTGCTAAAGAGCAAACCGGAGCAAGAACGTAAGCTGTTATCTTCTCTAGTTAACAAAGTAAGTTGGTATTAAATTACTTGAACACTAGTTTTTGCCATCTATTGAAGCCTATGCACAATAACATCTTTTTAAGCGGTAATAATTTTGTTTCATCATATTCTGGTTATATACAGCTTGGAGATCCTCAAAGTAAGGGTGCATCAAATGCATACTTTTATTTATCAAACCTTCTATCATATTCTAGAACCGCTTCAACTCAAAAGGAAGTTTACTTGGTGTTTTGGGTGTTGGTTTTGAGTTATATCAAGGTTGAGATGTTAGTCCCTGGATTTTGACTTTGGGTAGCTAGCAAGGGCCATTTGGACTCCAAACAAAGAAAACTGAATTTGATGGAAAATTGTAGGACGAGTAGTTTTTAACTTGTAGTATGTAGAGTTGATCAAATTCTATGTACTTTTGACATCTTTAAGTAATTAGATGGAAAGCCTCATAATAAGGTTAGAAAAGCAATGCATAAGCTACCAGAAATAGGGGCCTTAATTTTTTTCATATTGATGGTTTGATTGCGGCGGAAGAAAAAAAGATAAGATGATATGTTATCTAAGAATCACTTGAATTAAGTTTTGATTTTTTTTGATAATTATTAAAGTTACACATTAATTTTGTTAAATGCGTAAGTAATACATAAATATTAATTATGTACCAAAAGAAATACATAAACATTAATTTATAATTTTATATAATATATATAATTTTGATTTTTGTTTAATTGTATATATAAAATTTTAATTTAATTATACATATTTAAAAAGTAAATGCATTCATTTATAATAAAGTCATCTTTGTACATTTTGGTAGGAGTAAAATGGTTCATCTATTAAAAGGTTTATATGTTTATTTAGTTAAATGTTGATGTAAAAATTTAATATATTTTTAGATAAATTATGTAAAATTTAATATTATTTAAAATTAAAATAATACATGATATATTTACTCTTTTATTCTACCCATTTATCTTTTAAATTTTATAAAAAAATTATATATACATTTTATTAAAAAGTATATATATTAAAAATAATAAAATAATATATTATCGATGAATTTTTATATAAATATTTTCATTTAAATATTTAGAATTCCACTTGTTAAAAATATAGAACAATGACAATTTCGTAAAATATACATTCCAATAATCTTTTATTTCTTCAACCAAACATTGTAATCTTACATTCCTACCAAACAAACCAAACACAGAAATGTAACATTCCCAGTAATGTGTTAGGTAATGTTACATTTCGGTAATCTTATTCCCAGAGGTAATCTTACATTCCGTGAACCAAACACACCTTAAGAGATTCGTATTCTGACCGGAATAGATTAGAATGAAAGAGTCTTTGTTTATAATTAGTCAAAAAAGTAATCTTGAAAAAGCATTTCATAAACTTAAATGAAATTTATCCAAAAATTTTCAAACGTTTTTAACACATTAAAAAATCTCCTTTTTTTCTATTAAGAGGATTGCGATAAAGGGATATTTTTTTATTTTACCTCTTTATTTTTTTATAAAATATTCAAATTTTATCATGTCATATGAAGAAAAAAAATGAGTTTTCTCTTTTTATGTTTTTGAAATGATTCACAGTACTTATTTACTCTTTTTGTATACGTTATTATTCTTTTTACAAGAACAGATAAAAAATTTATTGATTCTATAAATGTCATTTTGTTCTCTTTTTGTAAGGATCGAGACAAAAGATAAATTTATATAAAATTAATATTATCTTTTTCAAAATACCAGTAGATAAAATTAGATTACAACTCTCTTGAAATTGTTGAAACTTCAAACTCTCTTGAAATTGTTGAAACTTCTGAGTTAGAAAAATATATTAGTTTAAAGTTTTTTTAACACTTTAAAAAAATCTCATCTTTTCTATTAAGAGAATTACGACAAATTTTTCACCTAATCTCTTCAATTTTGTGTATGAAATATTTAAATTTTATCATTCATGATTTGATCTGAAAAAATTGATATTTTTCTTAGATGTTTATGAAATGGTTCAAAACACTCAAATACTTTTTTTGTGTGCATATTTATTATTCTTTTTAAACATTCAGATATTTTTTTGCATATATTATTATTTTTTAGAAGAATGGACAAGAAATTTATTGATTCTATAAATGTTATTTTGTCCTCATTTTGTAAGGAATCGGTGCAAAAGATAAACTTATATAAAATCAATATGTCTTCCAATAAAAATACCAATGTGAATAAGAAAAATTAGACTACAAACTCCCTTGAAATTGTTGAAACTTATGTGCTAGGAAAATATATTAGTTTAAGTTTCTTTAATTTTTTTTAATACATTAGAAAGTCATATCTTTTCTATTAAGAGGTATGCAACAAAGAGAAATCATCTTTCACCTTATCTTTCTATTGTTTACAGTCTTAAATGCACTGTGGTTCCTTAAACTATATGCATTTTGTATCAAATTTTCTTTCAAGGAAGAACTAAAAATCAATAATCGATACAGAAGAATATAAAAATATAAAATTCATTTCAATCTACGTAAATATGGTGATTGAATTGTAAATATAGTGATCACTCAATTTGCAATTAAGGCTCAAGGCTGGGGCGTCCGGGATTTTAGGTTAGGAGTGGGTTGGTTTGTTGAGATCGATGGGTCTGAATAAAATCTTCTAAATGTTCATTTCTATTAGATTTTCGAATAATCTAAAATTAAATTTTAGTTAGTTGCTCAAACTCATATACATTATCTCTTTGTATGTATATATATGTGTGTTAAATAATTGAATCTTATCATTTATGAGGTGATCTCGAAGAAAGTTTGATTTTTTTAGATGTTCCTGAATGATTCGGAACACTTAGATACTCCTACATGTCATCATTCTTTTTTCAAGAATAGATAAAAATTTGTTAATTATACAAATGTCATTTTTGTCTTTTTTTATTAGGGATCATATAATAAAAAGGAAGTTTATATAAAACTAATGTTATTTTCTTTAAAAGTAACAATCCAAATAGAAAAAAAAATTAGGATACAAACTCTCTTAAAATTGTTGAATCTTTGAGTAGGAAAAATACCTTAGATTTTCCTATTTATCGTGATCGAGTGTCCAAAGATGACTACCTTTTCAAGCCAAATTATGAGTTGAAAGGCTAATTTATTATCTAAAAGCGGACATGCTTATTTTCCATGTTAATACACTAACAATCTAACATTTTACTGCTTGATGCTATGTTAAAACGTTGCCGTTTCTGAGTTATATAGGAGTTGATTGAAACGTTGTCGTTTCGCCATGAGGTTAATAATTCACCTGTAAGCTGTTTTCGAATTATGCCGCATTTTAATATATTCAGTTTGTAGTAGGTGATAAAAAATATTCACGTGTAAGCTTATACTTTGAAGTCAAGTGCTACCTTATTTCTATGTTAAAATACAATAATGTTATATTATATGCACTAACGATCCTTTAAAAAAAAGATTTCACGACCAAAATTTCAGTATGTTTCCCTATAGTCTTTCTGCTTCAGCAGTGTCTTCCTCGGCATCTTCTGTTTCGCCGCCTAATTTGATGAGATCTTCAACAAGTATTTTCCTTCTGTTGCAAGAAATCCAGGGCAAGGAACAAAAGAAAGGGAATTTAAGGTCTAAACAGTAATTTATGCAGCTAAACACAAGAATATTAAAGAAAAAAAATATGACCCAAGTATATAAGCCTAGAAAATTCATCTGTTCTACATTGAAACAACCACACCGTTCAGCCTGATGAGAAAAGTACTTATCTTGCTCCCAGATGCCCAAAATTATATGCTTCAAGTAAAGCCATAATCCCTGGCATAAAGAATGGGACAAAATCCTTCCATTGAGAAAGTAATGCATTATGTGAAACAGGAATTGAAAAAAGAAAAAAAAACTTGGAATAAGATGGAAAGAAAGGATCTACATTGTAAATAGAAAAGTGACACTTCAGAGTATATACTTTAGGAAAGTATGAAAACAGTTAAGGTCCCATTTGATGCAATATTGTGTCCTTCCTAAAAGTAGTTTTAAAGAATTTAAGATGCTTTCCTGGCTGTTTAATTGTGCTAAAAGCACCTGAAGTTAGTAGAGATCTTTACAGGAAATAATTTTCAAAGAAAGAGAATCCAACTGCTGCTTGCAAGCATGAAGGTCTTTCAAGTTTAAATCATGGAAAATAAATACATAAATAATAATGCTTCTAATAATAAACTCTTTCAACAAAAATACTAAAAAGTCACCATTTTATTAATACGACCAAAGACCCAGGGAGAAAAGCATGAAAAAAGTGCCTGCTCATTCACAGAGCAACTGAAGGCAGGAGAAAAACCAGAAAGTTGACTGAAGGTCAGAAAGCATGCCTACCAAGTTCAGCTAAGGGGAATGGGTCAATAAAAGGCTTGAAAGACAATGGAACAGGCCAGGCAGAAACAATGAAGACATATCATGGATTCAATCAAAACTGGAATACTTAAGATATCCAAGTTTAAATAATGCAATGTTATAAGCCTTGTCCAGCTAAATAGCAGGAGGCTAATCTGAGTGCTTTACTAGGTATGTCTTTGATTTCTATTCTATCACAAGCTTTAAATAGATTTGCTGATCCTTCCAAAGTTGCTTTAACCGATGGAGACAACTTTCATATCCCAAAACTCTGAACCAGGGGAGCAAACAGGCCAAGATCTATGATTCCAGGCATAGAAGCTTCAAAACTGCTTTTTTCTTGTGGGTTCATTTTACAGCCACAAAATTTACAACTAAAAGAATACCGTACTAATTCTAATTTCCCCCCACATGAAATAGCCTTGTTATTTTTCCCACATGTTAGATAGAGTTTTGTTGAATCATTTGAGACAAATTATAATTTTCCTTGAAGAACTTGAAAAACCATTGATTCAAATCTCTGAGACATAAACGTAAAGGAAACTACATTTGAGATAGTGAAACCGAAAATTGAGAAGCGTAAATCCGGAAATACCAGTAGAAATTAGATTACAAACTCTCTTGAAATTGTTGAAACTTCTGAGTTAGAAAAATATATTAGTTTAAAGTTTTTGAACACTTTAAAAAAATCTCATCTTTTCTATTAAGAGAATTACGACAAATTTTTCACCTAATCTCTTCAATTTTGTGTATGAAATTTAAATTTTATCATTCATGATTTGATCTAAAAAAATTGATATTTTCTTAGATGTTTATGAAATGGTTCAAAACACTCAAATACTTTTTTGTGTGTGCATATTATTATTCTTTTTAAACATTCAGATATTTTTTGCATATATTATTATTTTTAGAAGAATGGAAAATTATTGATTCTATAAATGTTATTTTGTCCTCATTTTGTAAGGAATCGTGCAAAAGATAAACTTATATAAATCAAATGTCTTCCAATAAAAATACCAATGTGAATAAGAAAAATTAGACTACAACTCCTTGAAATTGTTGAAACTTATGTGCTAGGAAAATATATTAGTTTAAGTTTCTTAATTTTTTTAATACATTAGAAAGTCATATCTTTTCTATTAAGAGGTATGCAACAAAGAGAAATCATCTTTCACCTTATCTTTCTATTGTTTACAGTCTTAAATGCACTGTGGTTCCTTAAACTATATGCATTTTGTATCAAATTTTCTTTCAAGGAAGAACTAAAATCAATAATCGATACAGAGAATATAAAAATATAAAAATTCATTTCAATCTACGTAATAGGTGATTGAATTGTAAATATAGTGATCACTCATTTGCAATTAAGGTTCAAGAGTGGGTTGGTTGGTTGGATCGATGGATTGAATAAAATCTTCTAAATGTTCATTTCTATTAGATTTTCGAATAATCTAAAATTAAATTTTAGTCAGTTGCCCAAACTATACTTAAATAGTGACAACTATTTCTTTCTACTTGTTTTCTGTGTGAGAATGGAAAAATATATATAAATATCTCATAATGAAATCTTAACTATTAATTAGAAATGCTTTCATTATATTTTGGATTACCATGAAATCACTCTAAACGATCAAAAAAATATTATACAAAATTAAATGAAAAAAAATATTATTATCAAATATTGGCCGTAATGAACCTTAAAATTGGAATATATATATATATATATGATACGATAAATAGTTGTTGACCAACTAGGAGAACTGTATGTAAGCCAATTACGAAGTGTACACAGCCCGACTTGAACGTCTAAAAAGACCCAAAAAAAAAAATGAAGGATAAATTACATGTTTAGTATTTAATCTATTGCTTTTATTATGTTTTAATACCTAAATTTTATTTTGTTCAAAACATACCTAACGTTTAGTTTATATTTTCAATTTGGGATATGTTTTTAAAAATTTAATGGTGATGTTGATGTGTTATCATAAGGAAATATTGAAAAAATAAAAAAATATCCTCTCAACAGTTATGTTAATATTTTAACGGAGTTACCAAATTGAAACATAGACTAAACGTTAGCATAATTTGAAATAAATAAAGTTTAGTACTAAAACAGAAAAAAGTAATAATTTAGTTTACTAGTCTTCTCTTTATTACAAAATTCAAAGTCTCTCTTACACAAGACACTTCCTCTTTGAGTTTATGTAATGCCTGTCCGATCTGCCTGCTAGCTAACTCGGTCTCTCTCCAATCCTTTTTCCCCAGCTCAATGTTCAGCTGAAGTTTTCCCACTAAACGCCGTCCTTCCGTGGAACGCTAGGTTCAGCTCAGATCACAAAGTTCAGCGAGTTCTTTTTCAGATTCTGAAGGTTCGGTATTAGAAGTTCCACTGAGTGGTCGCTCTGTGAATTAAGCGGAATGGTATCCCTTTTTTGGCTACGGAGTTTTGGGGGTTTCAAAGGTTGTTTTGTGGATGGGGACTAATTAGGGTTTCTTTGTTTTCTATTCAGTATTGGGGATATTTGTCAAGTAAATTTGTTTTCCATGGCTGGAAGTGGAAATTTGGTTCTGTTGGGGAATTAGAAATTTAGGGTTTCTCTCGTGATCTCTTGAGATTGTTGAATTCTGTTGGGGATAGATTAATAATTTGTAGGCTTTAATAATTGGGTTTGTTATATTTAGAAGTCGGGAAGTTGTATGAAACCAATAGGATTATAGTGGGAGAGAAATGTTTTATTCACAGTTTATATTGGCTAAGAAAGGTCCCTTGGGGACAATATGGATAGCAGCACATCTGGAGAGGAAGCTCCGGAAGAACAGGTGGCGGATACTGACATCGGTGTTTCTGTTGGTTAGTACTTTTTAGTTCCTTACTTGTTAGCTTGATATCTCTGAATTTAAATTTCACATTTATCTTGGTTTACTTATATTAATTTATTCATTTCCTCTTAGTGATGCAATATCCAAATCTTCTTAAGGTTAGTTCGCTCTAGAATGTTTTAGATATGCATTCCTTCTTTCTTCTTCTCATTTATGCTGTATTATTTTTTCTTTAGATATTACTGGTTGTTCATAATTGGTAACTGCATCTTGGTCATTGTTTCATTTTTAGTTAATTATGATTTAGGTATTGCCCTTTCACTTTTTGACTACTTATACAAGTAGCAACATGTAATTAATGAACGTTTATTTGTTTGCCCTTGTTCAATGATTTATGGATTTGCTCTCAAAATCAAACCTCCCCCACACGATTTGTGATTTAAATATCACCAAACCAACGGCTTGATGAAATCAGACAGTTTCAACCCTATATTTGTAGAAGTGGTATGTTGGATTTGAAAATCACATATACTAAGATTAGCTTGAAAATCGGCATGTTTGATGGCTTGATCTCACTATTAAACCTGGAACCAATTTGGTAAACGTGCACTCTCCAGAAAATTATGGGGCAGTATGCATAGTTTTCTCCATCGATTCTTGGCACAGAAAACCTGATTCCTAAGTTCCATTTGAAATTTTATTCTGGATAATTTTTAGAAACCCATAACATCCTTTTCTCCCATTCTTAGTGACGTGAACTAATCTTCTTTAAATTCTTTATGCACCTTCCCCTTTTGGGAATAGTTGGGGTGTTCCTGGAAATTCTATTGGTTTCTTTGGAAACCTGTGGTCGTGTAGGAGTAATTTTCCTCTGGAACATGGTTACTATCCATGCTGTTGATAGCATATTCTTAAATATGCAGTTACTTAGTTACTACTCAGTGGAGGAATTACCTTTGAGCTTGTTCAGCCCTTTTGTTGATTTTGTTGTTCATGTGTATCTCTGAACTAATCAAATTAGATAAAGGTTATGGTTGATGCTTTTCACATTCTATTATCTAATTTCCTTCATGTTCACGAGAAACCTTGTGACAGAATAAGTTGACTAGGCTTGGCTAACTTTTTGGATTGCCTTTTGTTGTTTATGTGGCCTTTGAGCAGACTCTATTCTGTTCCCTGATGTACCCATTGCACTACGACTGTCCAGTCATCTCCTTGGAGTAGTGAGGATATATTCTCGAAAGGTGAATTACCTTTTGATGATTGCAGCGAAGCCTTGCTCAAGATAAAGCAGGCATTTCGCTCCACTGCTGTTGATTTACCGCCAGAAGAATCGACTGCGCCCTACCATTCAATCACTTTGCCTGAGACTTTTGATCTTGATGACTTTGAGCTGCCTGACAATGAGATTTTTCAGGGGTTAGTCCTGATATTTTTACCTTTTAGATTGCCTTTCTTGTTGTATGTGCTGCTTTGGCACTACGATACACATTGAACATTTCATAAAGTATATGGAAGTACTGTATGTTAACTAAACATAATTTTCCTGGCAGTAACTACGTTGATCATCACATTAGCTCAAGAGAGCAGATTACACTTCAAGATACCATGGGTGACATGGTTTACTCTACATCACAATTTGGATTGGATGGTTAGCGCATGCTTTTGACTGTGGCAATGTTAGTTTTAGCTACATTTGCTTAGCAAAATTTAGTGAATCTAAATTCTGCATTTTGAATACTTCCAGAGCGGTTTGGTGACGGTGACACTTCTCAGATTGGTCTCCTTGATGAGGTAGTGTTGTCATTCTCTTGTGTCCTTGATATTTGGTGATTGCTTCGAAAGTGGTTTCTAATCAGCAGGAGTCTTACTAATGTAGGATCTGGAAATTTAAGAAAGAGTGGTTATAGCAAGCAATAATTTCTGATTTGGGGTTTACATGGATTTGAAAATATGATTTGTTTTGAGTTTTGAAGGTTGATATCGGATAGGAGGATTTAAGCTTAAAGTCCGACAAAAAGACCAAATTGATTTGGATGTTTTTTGCATCTGTGAATTGTACCAATGAATAGTAGTTTAGATTTAGAGTTGAAATATGATGTTAGTTAAGATTTGATTTATGATTTAGGGATAAGACGATGATGAAGATCTAGGCTTTGCAGCAATATTTCCTGCACTTGTGCACCGGTTGGTATCAGCTTTAAGTAGATTTGATTTATGATTTAGGGAGACGTCACAACTTTCTAAACTTGTCCTTTCAGCTGATTCCCTCCTATTTTCCTTCTAAACTTGTCCATTTAAATATACTTAATCAATACCCTCATTGGATATGTAACAATCCTCTAACCTTGCTTGTGAGGTTTACAAACTTCATCAATAGTAAAATGAGTATGTTTGGTACAAAATAGTTGTGATCATGATGGAGCAGGTTGTTACCTCTTAGGGATGGACAGCAGTAATACAATGCTCTAATAAGGAAGATTGGTAATTCGGTGATTTGGTGCAGGTCCCATATTGGTCTCCTGGTCAAGAATACTTTTTCCTCCATTTTAGGGTTAGGGAGGTTTTTTAATGAAGTTCTTGTCAAAGTGATGTACCCCTTATTTTGATATTAATAAAATAGTTTTTTACTTTTCAAAAAAAAAAAGAAGGTAGATTGGTAAAAGAGCAAATGTTTTGTTAAACCAACAGTGGTTGGAGAACAGCTGATGCAATAATATCATCAGAGCATGGCATTCATGTATATCCTTTTAGGTTGGGCTCATGAGCATGAATTGGGTTATTTACTATTTCATAGGTGGTTTGAACATTAAGACCTGATCATTAGTTCCTGAAGTTGAAAATATTCTTCCCGGGATTCTCTGGTCTGCAGAACCTTTGACTTGTTGAATGGATGGTTTTGTTGGCTCTTCAAAGTTATGTCTTTGGGTTGTGGTATTAAACTTGTATTCTTTATGAATTGACCTTTTCTCACTTCTTATTTGTGCTATTTCCTATCATGTTAATCATCTTCTAAAAAATCTTTGTCATGGATTAATCTTGAGCAGGAGCTTGTCCGAGATCAGGTTGCAGTGCCAGGACCTGTTGAAGTTTCAGAGTAAGCCTCATATATATATATATATATATATATATGTATATATATCCAATCATGTCATTTATGAAATTCTCATACTCCTACCGTATTTCTCCTTATAATATTTTTTGGATAGTGCAGTCATTTGATCCCCTCATGGATAGATTGCTAAACACTGCCAATTGTTAAGTCATTAATTTCACTGGTTAATTTATGCAACCATCATGATACTTTTGAAATTTCTGGCTCGCCTGACTTGTTTATGTCATTTCAGGTTTGATCAAGGGTCAGATGTACCACAAAAACAAGACCCAAGTAATTTAGAACTGTGCCAATGGATTGCAGTGGGGATCAGGTTTTTTTTTTTCAACTCAACATACATCTCAATTTCCTTTTGATTTGAATTTATGTCGTAGAAAATTATACATTCTGGTGATTTTTTACATCTGAGCTTTTATTAATATGTTCTGCTTGCTGTTAGGTTGAAGGCCTGACTGCAAATTCTGAATTTGTTGAGAACGGCGAGGATGCAGATGCCCCTGGATTGGTGGAAGTGCCTAGCTTGTCTGGTGTTCAAAAGGAATTGGCTGATCGCATTGAATCAGAAAATCACAATCTTACAGTATTGGAGAATGATTGTGGAAAATGCTCTAACAAATCAAATTTTCCCAATGGGGATAATGGTCCAGTGGATCAGTCTTTGCACAATGATATAGTTCATGATCCTATAATTCGTGTGCCTCCTGAAAATGGCTTCCACATTAGTGACATGGAGAAGGAACAAACTAAACCACAAGTAAATTCTATCCATGATGCCTTGTCTGTGGAGTACACTTCTGCTGTCGGTACTATCAGAGAACCTGATGGTTTGGATAGGGTGGAAGATATGCATAATGGTGTTATGCAGCCTATGGATAGAACTGATGGAGAATGTCTTGAATCTCCCAGCTGCTCCAACGTCACTTTTGATTTGGAGGACCCTTCTCGAAGATCATGTTCAAGGAGCATCTATGTGCCCATATCAGATGGTTGTTTGGAGAATGGTCAAGCATCACATAAATATGAAATTGGCAAAGATGCTCAAACCAGTGATAATTGGAAGAGACATGCTCACCTGCCAAACCAATAGCTTCAGACCCTTCCTGTCCATTGGAGTCTCCCAGTAGACCAACAATTATTGATGGTGAAGCTCAAGGCTTTCAGGAACCAATTGATTCTGAAAATTTAGAAAAGCCTATTGTTCACAAAGATTTCTCGTCTCTTCAAGTTTTGGAAGTGATAGTTTGGTTGCTGCAGAGCAAAACTTGATGGATTTGTCCAGAAGGGAGGAAGTTCATTCCCCTGGAGCCTCCATTGAGGTGCAAGGTTTGTTTTACAAGTTTTACAAATGAAGTCTTATATAGAATTTCATTTTCCAATTTTATATGATACCATCTCTTTTTATGATACTTTTATGTTATATTATTCCTAATTAACTACCATCTTGCAGTTGAAGCCTGCCAAACTCAGATGTCTGAGCCTGCTTTATGTGATGATCAGTTAGAAAATTCAAGCAATTGTGCTACATCTGATTTGCCTGCACCTGAAAAGTTACTCTCTGCACCAGAAGGACCTCATGATAAACCAAGTGTTGCTGGGTGTGTCTACCCCCAGACAAAGAAGTCCTAACTGAAAATGATGAAATTGATGCTGGAACCAAACTCATTTCAGGGAAAAAACGAAGTATAACTGGTACATTAACTACAGGGAGTACAAATTCAATTGAATCATTTGGAATACCTCGATTGAGGATAACTGGAGATTCAGTTCCTGATGATGATGACTTGTTGTCTTCTATTTTAGGTAGCAGCACTTTTAACTCTAAAAGGAACTAGTACTTACCTTCTAAGTTACTAGAATAGAATGGAATATTGCTCTTTACAAAGTACTTCTATGAATGATACATTTTTTTCATTGCTTCAGTTGGAAGATCTTCCCTTTTCAAAATGAAGCCAACCCCTCCTCCAATGAAACGTGCGACTGCACCAACATGGTGCCACCAAGAGAAAAGTGCTTATGGATGATACTATGGTCTTACATGGCGAGTATGTTACAAATGTGTTCTTACTGAAC